TTTTAACATTTTTTGTGTTGAACAAAAAAGACGATTTTAAAACAAAAAAAAAAAAAAAAAAAATCGAACGAAACAAAACAAAAACAAAAACAATTCCATTTCCTTTGAAATCAACGCCATCTAATGGATTTGAATACAAATAGAAAAAAACCCGAATGGAAAAGAATTCGGAAAATTTTTTTATCAGCCATAATATATTTTAGTTTATAAATCATATTTCATTATCATTAATAAATAAATCAAAATATGATCTTCAAATAAAACGAAAAATGCCGCCAAAAAAAAAGTGAAAATTTTTGTTGAAATGTAAGATGTTTATCAACAAAAAAAGTGAGTGATTTTGAAAGATTATAAATTATAATCAAATGGAATAACCTTTTTTGACAGATTTATGTTGGCCAAATTTTCAAATTCTAGATTATAATAATGATGATAATGACAAAGAAACAATGTAGAAAAGAAATTGTTTTTGATCAACATTCATTTGTTTTTATTCAATCGTTTGATTTCCACCAACAACAAAAAATAAAAAATGATTAATAGTGAAAAAGAAGATAATAATGGTGACAAACGAATTGCCATCAATGATAATTCAACAATTGATTTTGATAATGATGATGATAATCATATTGTCCATTCTCATTCAAATTGTTTCAAATCAATTCGTTCATTTTTAATCAAATTATTTCCCATTTTTGGCTGGTTACCATATTGTTTTCCAACCATTTTGAATGATATTTTGGCCGGAATCTATATCGGTCTTTATCAGATTCCACAATGTAATTTGTTTTGTGTGATTTTGTTTTTTATCTGTGACAAAATTCATGTAAAAATAATTCCAATGTTTTTCTTTCATTAACAGGCATTGCATATTCAATTATAGCTGAATATCCATTATCACATACGATACATACAAATGTGATTGCATCGATTTTATATGCATTAATCGGTGGTAATCGTCGTTTTTCTTATGGAATTTTTTCATTAGTATCAGCCATTTATATCGGTATTATATTAGAACGAATCAAAGATATTGATGATACAGCCGAAAATGTTATTATTGTTGTGACATTTTCAATTGGTATTTGTTGTTTATTGGCTGGTCTATTAAGAATTGGATCTATGGTTCGTTTTATTCCGTATGAAATTTTAAGTGGTTTTCGTGCTGGCCTATACCTGTTATTAATTACATTGCAAATCTGTTCAATGGCTGGTTATTATAGTAAAGATTGTACATTAGGCAATGGAAAATCATTGATGATTATGCCCGATCTATATCGAAATAAATTCTATACAAATCTAACAACCAAACATATTAATTGGAATAGTTGGATTGTATCGATCGGTTGTATAGCATTGTTAACATTATTTCGTTTATTTCATTATTATTGGAATAATATATTCAATTATCGATTGAATTGGTTACGACAAATTGTTCGTCGTATACCGATTGAATTTATATTGATCGCAATCGGTATTATTGTTGCAAATTTTGTTGATGTAAAGAAATATAAAATTTATACAATCGATGGAATCAATTTTGGTAATGAAAGTCTAATCGATATGTCCAACCATTTACAATTGAAATGGCCACCAATTCAACATTATTTGTATCATATATGGTTCGAATTGATTACAGCAACATTATTATTTTTAATCTATATGCATTCATTAGCATTAGATTTTCTTATTCAAGATACTGAAGAAATTTATCAACCAAAATTTACTAAACGAAAACATCGATTAAATCCAAAACAAATGAAATTTTATCGTTTAGGTTGGAAAACCTATAATATGAACAATGAATTATTATACAAAGGTTTTATCGATTTAATTGGATCATTTATTAAATGTTTGCCAAGTGGTCCATCAAAAATACGTAGTGATCGTATGCGTAATGTTGGTGCCTGTACACAGGTAAATGTTTTGTTTTTTTTTCACTGATTGATTTATAATATTTTTTTGTCATATTCTATTTACCTAATTATTTAGATTTCTAGTCTGATTGCAAGTGCTGTCATATTGGCCATTTGGTTAACAACAGAAAAATATTTTGCAAAAATACCAAAATGTATTGTAGCCAGTATTGTTACATTTGATACATTTGTTGCATTGATCAAAGAATTTATTAATGTTAAAAATTTTTGGAAAACATCAATTTTTGATATTATAATATGGATTTTAACATTTATATCATTTATAATGTTGACTATTGAACAATCATTATATTTTTCACTTGGTCTTTCATTAATTGTTTATTGTTTACGATATCAAAATTTTGAATCATTCCGATTTTCGCTTCAAAAAGCATTAATAACCACAACAAATATGGTTGTACTTGTACCAAGAGATTTTCTTTATTCAAAATTTAATGATCTTCATCATCATCACCATCATCATGATGAAGATCATAATGCTGATGATAATGAATGTAATATATTGAAAACGATACCATCATCAACATTAAAAACGATAAATATTTTTCGTATTGATCAACGAATAATGACCATTGCAAATATCGATAGTTTTGTACGTGATGTATGTCGAAAAGTTTCCGATTCAATGATAATAGAATCTAATATGAATATGAGAAAAAGATTAATATTTGATTGTCGATCGATTTCATATCTTGATTGGCCAAGTATACGTGCTGTAAAAGGAACAATAATGAGAATAATACAGGTTAGTGAATCATGGCAACAATCAGCCATGGCCACCACTACGACCAAATCATCATCATCATTTAATGTGATTAATGATTCAACAATAGAAAATGATCGAAAACAATTGAAAAAAGAACAATATTCATTGGTTGCAATGTTTATATTTCGTACACAATTAGTACAAATTATACATAATGCTGGTGAATTTAGTATACATTTTTATCATTCATTACATCAATCATTACATATTGGATTGAAAGCAGCTATCAATATGGCCATTACTATTCCAACAATAACAAATTCAGATCGTTATGATACATTGGAAACAATCAAACATTTACGAATTAATTCATTAACTGATGAGGAAAAAATACCAACAACAATTATCACTAATAATAATAATAATAATAATCAATCAACAGCCAGTAACAATAATAAAAAACAAAATAGAAAAGAAGAATCGAAAGAGAAAAAATTGAAAAATCTATTCAATAAACGTGTTGTTGAATTGGAAATGCAATCGGTTAATGAAAATGTTTCGAAAATAAACAATGATGATCGATCTAAACAACAATTTGACAATAACAATAAAAACAACAACAATGATAATTCAACCGTACTTCCCATATCGTTTCGACAACAAAATTCTATTGATCAATCTGAACAATCGTCATCATCATCATCATCATCAATTCCACCAAGATTTCAAATAATCAATCAACAATCTTTGGAGAAAAATTATGAACTAAAAGATGATGATAATAGTCAATCGAAACAAACACCAAAAGCAAATGAATCTATTGTTCATAATAAATTATCAAAATCAATTATTCCGTCATTAGCACCACCACCACCACCACCGCCTCCACCAGAACCAAAATTTACCTATATTCAACCAGGTAATTGGAAAAAACCAAACAAAGAAACAAATCAACAATCAAATAATGATGAAATAAACAATCAACCAATTGAAGAAGAATCTACATCATCATTATCAATGTCAGATTTTAAAAAACATTTGGAAAATTTATTCAAATGAATTTTATTACCACCACCATCACCCCCTGTGTAATACAGATTTTTATTTCAATCAATCAAAAAATGATTAACAAACAAACAAATAAGGAAAAAAAAGATTGAGACAATGATTTCAAAAAAAAAAAATTACAAAATAAATTATCAACATTGAAGAAGAAAAACAACGACAACAACAACATTGACAAAATAAGAAGAACACATGTCATTTGTTTTATCTTGTCAATTAATTTAAGAAAACACAAAAAATCACAATCACATTTGTCTAATTGAATTGAATTTTTTTATTACCTAATTTATTAATTGACTAATTCCTATAATAACATACAACAGACAAGTAATTCTAACTAACAGAAATCCTAATTGTGAAAACCTAAACTAATAGTAGTAGTGAAAGTATTGAAAAATCAAAATAATAATTTTTTTTTCTTTTAATAAATACAACAAAAAAAAAATGGATTCTATATCTGTGGATAATCTGTGTTCAGATTCAAATCTCCAAATTTAGATTTTGGAAAAAAATAATCAATTTAATTAATCAATTAATTAATTAATAAGGAAAAAAAATATTCAAATTTTTTTTTCTTGAATGAAAAAACAGGGGTTTGTACCAATCCGATTGATATATTTGTGTGCGGATGCATCCATGGATGTGTGTGTTTGTATATATAGAAAAATATAATCATTTGAATGATGATGAAGATTTAAATTTTTTTTTAAAATAAAAATGTTGATGATGATAATGATTGATTGATGATAACAACAAGAATTTTTTTTTCTTCTTCTTCTTCAGATATCCAATAATTTATTCTTTTTCAACTCATAATAGCTCCTAATGGTCGTCTTGTATATTCATAGACCACATAACTAATTGATACAGCCGGTGCAACTTTCATTATGTTGGCAGTGATACCTCGATATAGGCCACGAGGTCCTTCATTACGCATTATTGTACGAAACATATCAATCATTGAACTACGATGATGTCCAGTTTCGGATTGCATTCTTGTACGAATCAATGCTAATGGATAGCTTGCAATTTGACCGAATGTTGATGATACAGTACCACAGGTTAGACAAACATAAACAGGTGCATCTTCTAATGAATGACTTTTTAAATACGTTTTTTTCAATGTCTATGTAGGAAAGATTATTTAGTTTTTTTTATTTGAAAAATTTGTAAATTTTTTATTTACCTCATAAATTGTAAGATCAATACCGGCATATGGTATTATACCAATTAGATTGGGAATATAACCACGATAGAAATTTTTAATGCCACCATTTGAATAAATTTTTTGTGCTGCATCAAACAATCCTCTATATTGACCTGTTTGTCGTAAACAAAAACGTGTTTTTAAAACTTCCATTGGATATATCGCAGTTTGTGAAACAGCTCCAGCAATCGAACCAGCTAGAAATCTTTCCATAATTGTTATTTCCGTACCGGCATCACCTGAATGTATCAAACGTTTTAGCTGATCAAAAGCCATAAATTTCATGGCAGTTTCAGGAGCAATTTTTAGAACATTGATTCCATTACCACGCCATAATGATAAAACACCACCTTCTTGTAACATATGTTTGAGACAAACGCCCAGTCCATTGAATTCAGCACCGCGAACCTATGTTATTATTTCGACAACGATCATCAAATTTTTGAGTGTGAAAAAAAAACAACTTTAAGTAACAAACCTGTAGAAATACTTTAAGACGATCAAGAGGCGCTGTAGATGTTCGTGAAACAGCACCGGCAACACCACCAGCCAACATATGTCTCCACCACATACCAGTTTTGATTTCGGTTTCGCTGAAATCTACTGGCATAATACCATCTTCGCCAAAATCGACAAACTATATAAAATAAAAATTACAAATTAACCAAAAAACTGATATTAATTTGAAAAAAAAATTATAAAACACAAACTGTTCCGAAACGCCATGATCGCATTAAATCATGTAAAGAATCTGTTGGATGTAATAAAAGATAATCACGAAATTCCGAAAAATTTAATTCAAATTTATTCGGATTAGATGAATCGGCTTTAATACGGCGAACCAATCGTACAGCTTCCTGTTCATCAACAGTAATACCAGCACGTTTAAATGCCAAAACCAATTCATGAGCATCAAGTTTTCCATCACTATTAATATCAATATCTTTAAATATAACATGTAATTGTTTTTCATTTTCCAAACAATATGATACAAATTCAGCAAAATCAATATCACCATCAAGATTTATATCCGATCGTAATATAAGATGCTATAAGATTTGAATAAGAAGAAACAAACAAAACAAAACAAAACACATTTAGACAATAAATTTGATAATTATCCTCGAAAAAATCATAGGAAAGGAATAGGCTAAAAATAAAATGTTTGTCACGTACACACACACACACAAAAAAAAACATTAAAACATCATAAAACAATTTAAAATTTGGCAAATAATTGAAGAAAAAAAAGAAAAATTCCTTTATTTTTTTTTACCTTAACATTTTCATGTGTAGCTTGGATACCTTTCTGTTCCAAAGCTTGTAAAAGATCATTAAAATCGATGACACCATTACCATCGACATCGATCTCTTTAAATAATCTTTCTAAACGTTGTTTATCCGCCAGTGTTAATTGTTTATATTGTGGACTATGAAAAATGCTAAGATAATTTTCAGATGTAAATGAATCGTCGTCGTAATCTTCAATTTGTTCTTCTTCGTCATTAATCACTTCATCAAAATAGAATCGATGTTGTTGTTGTTGTTGTTGTTGTTGTTGTTCTGATTGATCAATGTCATATTCTTCAGCAGCATTGACCACCAATGTTGATGATTGCTGTTGATCATCAATTTTGTTTGAATATTTTTTATGTATTTTTTCACCAATGTCGTTGCAACTGTTGTTGTTGTATATATCACTGTTTTGTTGTTGTTGTTGTTGTTGTTGATTGCTCGGATACAGCAGCGATTTTGATGTTGTTGATAATGTTGTTGCTGAATTATCGTTGGCCTTCGTGTTTGTTGTTGTTATTGTAGATGCTTTTTGTTGTAAAAAATTTTGTTGTTTATAATTCTTTTGATTATTATTAAAATGTTCAGAATTTGATAAGGAAATATTTTTTAATGAATCATTATTCTGTCTGACTAATAACCGAGTATTTTCATTATTATTATTACTATTTAGATTAATTGATGATGATGATGATTTTCTTTGTTGCACTTGATTATTATGACTAGGTAATATTGATTTAATTGTAAATATTGAAATTGATGGTATTGATAATGATGGTAAAAATAATTGATTTAATCTTGATGTCCAAACATCTAATATATTTAATGAATTTATATTCGACTGATGATGATGATGATGATAATGATGAGGTATTGTTAAAAATTCTTGTTGCCGTTGATTATCATTTAAGGATAATTCTGTTGAAAATGTTCCTGTTGTTGTTGCGGTTGTTGTTTTGTTTATAAATGAAGAAGAAGCTGTCACATATGTACTCGATGTTGAAGTCGTTGTAGTGGTATCATTATTATTATTACTGTAATTATTATTATTATTATTATTTGATGATGATGAACGTAAAATTTCCATTGTTAATAATGATGAAAAAGGCGAACGGAATATATTAGTAGTGGTAGTATTATCATTATTATTATAACCAGAATTCTGATTAAGATTCTGTTCATTCTGTCCTGAATTCATTGATTTCGATGATGATGATGATGATGATGAACAAGTTGCACGCATGATTGGTAAATATGATGTTATTGTTTCAATTGAAATTTGATCTATATTTTTATAAAAATTTTTCAGCTGTTTTGTATTATTATCATCATCACATGGAAACATTTTGGAAACAATAAAATTATTATTATTATTTTTTGATTTCATCATTTGATTGTAATGATTTACTATTTTGGTTACAATGATTTGTTTTTTCAATCAATGTCGTTTCGATCAACATTATATTCAATTATCACGTTGTATTGGTTTTTGTTTGTTTATTGTTGAAAGACCTTTATCGAAAATTTGAAAAATGAAGTTATTAAATTTGCAAAATCTATTATCAAATTTAAAAAAAAACATACTTGCATTAAATATTAGTCTTTTTTAAATGATTCACATTTGAAAATCGTTGATTTGATAAATTAAACAATGAATAAATATAGTTTGATGAAAATTTGTTTCGTCTAATTCATTAACAAAATTCTAATTAACCAGAATTATCTGTTGAATGAGTTATTATCATCATCATCATATTTTTTAGATTACCGAAAACAAAAACAGAACAAAAAATTTTCGGAATGTTTGCCAAAAAACAAAAAAAAAATTATCAGAAATTTTTTCTGTTGTTCACGGAATCTCTTTTTTCACCAGAATCATGTACAAATGAACAGAAAAAAAACAACAACAAAACAAAAGAATAAACAACTTGTTGTCAACAACAAAAAAAAATGGTATATTGAGTATAGAATAACACACAAGTGAGAGAATGAGCAAGGTAATTTTTTTTTTTAAAGGTCAAAATTGTAGATGTTGGTTAGTTTGGTTGGTTGGTTGGTTGTTTGATTGATAATATGTGGCAGGAGCGTTCTCATATTTATTTGCAAAAAAAAAGATTATTTTGTCATTTCAGCATCAATGGAACCATCAACAAAAGAACTTCGATCAAACATATGATCAAATAATATTATTTCTATTTTTTCGTTTGTTTTTGTTTGAAATATTCCAAAAAAAAAAACAAATTTTAAAGTTCAATTCACCAACAAAAAAAACAACAATTAAATCGATTGATTCTGTTTTTGTTTCACATCTGAAAAAAAAATCAAAAGGACAAATCCAAAGGATAATTGTTGATGATAATCACTAACAATAACAAACACACATAGACACATTCAAATGTTGATTATTGTTATCATTTTTTTCGTTTTTGGTTCCTTTTCAAACACATTTGAATCATGTGTAATCATTTCTTTTTTTTGATGTTATAGACCGTTGTTGATACACAGTTGGTTGAAAAGAAAAAATTCAATTTATAACATTCAATTTTTTCATTACAATTTTCAATGGCAATGTTGTTGTTGTTGTTATGGTTATGGTTATGTTTATGGATGCTACTGATGTTGATGATTTTTTTTATCGTTCTTCAAATATAGATGTAATTAATTCATATGACGTGTTATTTAATGATGATGATGATGATGATGATGATGATAAACAGATACGGTTTTCTTTAGTTTAACAACAACAAAAAAAATGTACATTCATAATCGGTACTTGGGGTGGTAAGGATTGGAAAAAAAATTGATCTCTTTTTTTTCATTGATAATCGAATGAAAAATTTAGTTTTTAGTTTCTATGTTACTTTTATGTTACAAATCATCACATTTTTTTACAAAAAATGTAGCATTTTCATTTTTATCGATTTCATTCGAAATGTTTACCTTTGTTTGGTCAAGGGCAAGGACATTGTTGAAGGGTCAAGGTTCGATTCTGGAATAACAATTTTTTTTAGTAAATTTTTGAAAAATTTAACAGAATAAAAATGAATTTACCGAGGGAAAACAAATAAAACCATCCAATGTTGAGTTTGTTACGCGATTGTTTGTTTTTATCAATGAAATTTCATTCTGTCGATTTTAAAATCATGATTTTTCATTCCCCACTTTTTATATATAAAGGTAGACTGAAAATAGATTTCCGAAATCAAAATAAAATGAAATTTTTCACAATTTAATTACTGATCACGGTTTTTATAAATCGTTGAGAAATGATATCAACAATTCTTTCATTCTATCAAAAAAATCAAAATACCGTTGTTGCCGGAAACTTAAAATAATCAATTGTAACGAAACGGCGTAGAAAAAAATTTCATATTTTTTTATTCATAAATCAATGAACTTGAATGAATAAAATTTTAAAATGATTGAAAAAACAAAGAGAAAAAATTGTCTGAATCAATTTTGGATGAATAAAAAAAAATATCCTTTTTTTTAATATTCTTTTTCAACATGTGTATATTTAGAAAAAAAAGATCCATGGAAACATTTTGGGTAGAAATAGACGTTTTATTATAAAAAAAAAATTGTTTATTTTTATTCGATAAGAGTTACAGATGTTTTTTTTTTGTAATTAGATTTTAAAAGTTAAATAAATTCTTAATCAGCATTTTTTTCAACAAAAAAAAAAGAATTTAAAGTTTAAAAAACATAAAGAGGTTAAGGTAAATAAATCTTTTAAAGTTTTGTTTCAATTTATTCAGATTAACAAACGTTAAGAATTGAATATTTGAAATTCAAGGCGTTGACATTTGTCATTGAAAATTCGTCGTACTTTTATACACCAAACAACACATACAAAAAATTTTATCATTATTTTCATTGTTGTTTTGTTTTGTTTTTTTTTCTTCTGCCAGAAATTTCTAAATCAATTTCAAACAGAATGGATCAACAAATATTGGAAACATTTTTAAAACAATCAACAACCAAACCAATTTATAAACAATATTTACCATTTATGAAATTAGCTCGTGATAGTTTTGCACAGAATCCAATATTAACATATTGGACATTATGTTATGTTGTTGAAGCTGCATTAAAAAATCAAACAAAACCAACGGATGATTTTCGTAAATTTTTATTGGAAATTATGTCCTGTTTGGAAAAAGAAAAAAAATCACGTATTGGTGATAATTTATTCTGGAATGAAAAAGATGCACAAAAATTTATTGAAGAATATGGTAATAAATTGGTTGAAAAGGCTGAAGAAAATGAAGAATTAATGGAAAGATATGATCTTGCTTATAAACTATATCTAACGGCATCAAATATTTTTCAAATGTATACCGTATTTGTTCGTGATGATGAAGAGAATATCAAACGAATTAAATTCTGTAAATGGCGTGCTGTTGAATGTTTTAAAAAGAAAAAAGAACAGGATGAAAATCCACAGCCTAAATTTTCGGATAATGTTGATGATGATGCCGGTAATGGATCAAATGCTGGTGGAACTTCGAATGATGATCATCATGAATCATCATCAACATCATCATGTCCATATCCATCTGGTTCGGATCGTCCTTATCCACCTGCTAGTTCATCATCTACATTGCCTTATCCATCTTCAAACATTGGATTTTCCGGTTTAAATGATGGTAATAATAATAATGCTAAATCTAATGTAGAAACTGCAGATTTATTGAATCTTAATGAACCAACTTCATCATCATCTGCACAATTTCCTACACCGGCACCACGAGCAGCAACAGCAGCAGCATCTAAACCAAAAGATGATCGTCAAATACAATTGGAAAAAGAATTATCATCATTAACATTATCGGAATCGGATTCAAAACGTGCTGAATTATTATGTGAAAGTGCATTATATGCAATACGTGCTAATGATTTATTGACTGCTGTTGATACATTAAAACAAACAATCGAATTACTTTATAAACGTGCAAAAAAATAATGATTATAATTCTCATTATTAATATATTCTACGTATGATTCTGGTAAGATTATTTCCGTTTGGATTTTTGTTTGTTTTTTTTTGAAATTGACGTTGGTGAATAATCCAAATTTTATATCTTTTTTCTTTCTATATTTGGAAATAGGTCATCATCATCATCATCTTTATTTTCGAAACAAACATCGTAATTAACCTGTCTCACAAGCAACCAAAAACAACAAAACAAGAAAAACATGAAAAAAAAGAAATCTAATTTAGAATTTTTAAAGATATATACGAATGGTGGTCAGAAAGAAAGAAAAAAATAACTTTCTATTCTTGATGAGATATATTTTTCACACTACTTTCATCATCATCATCTTGGCCTTAATTGTTTTGTTTTGTTGGATTTTATTTTTCAGTCAAAACACAGCATCAAAAATCCTTAAAAATGATGATGATAATAACCAAACAAAAAAAAAGTTGATAATTTCATTAATAACTAATTTTCACTGAAAAAAAAAACTAAAAACCTGTGTTGAACCTTTTTTTCTAAACTGAAAATTCTATTATCCATTATTATTATGCACTTAAATGCAATGACATATGATGTGATTACATAATATTAGTAATCAATCATATTTGATTTATGATTTTTTTTAAAAAAAAGAAAACTTTAATCAATATATAATTAATTTTATTTTGTTTTTTTCATTAACCAAGCGAAACATTAACCAAAAAAAAACTGTATGAATTGGTGGTGAGAAAAGTCAATTAAGAAATGAAAAAAAAATTTGGCGGTTAAGCAATAATTTTTCAATTATAAAAAGAATTAACAAACTATAATCAATTGAAAAACAATAACAACAACAATTTTTATTTTAAAAAAGTTATTGTTTTTCTTACGGAAATAACCAGCAATTAGACATAACAATAATTGCACCTGTGAATCGATATTGATTAATCATTTTGGATAATTTTTTTTTTTTGATTTGAAGAAACGCACCATTGAATTTTGGATTTTTTATCGTTTTTTGGTTTCAAATAGAAAGAGAATAAAATCAATTAAGTTTTTTTTTTGAAAAAAAAACAAAAATTTTAAAATTTCAAGTTTCACTACCAAAACAAAAACAAAAACAAGATAATTATTGATATTGATAGATAATGATGATAATCATATGGAAAAAAACAAGTTTAACTGGTCGTTTTTTTTCATTTTCTTTTAAAAATGATATATAAGCCTTTTTTGATATTGAAAGATTTTTTTTTTCTTATTAAATTCTTATTACAGATTTACAGGTTGTCTTTTTATATTCATTTCATTTCATTTCGTTTTGGGTTTTGGAAATCAATAATCACTGTATTTGAAATGTTAGTTAATCATGAAAGAAATGGATACAGAAAAATCCTGTTTGGCCTGATTTTTTTTATCTTCTGTGTGTACTGGAAAATCATGATAATTTTTCTGTTTGTTAGCAACCATGACCAGTTCCTTATTTTTTATCCAAGGTAAAAACAAAAACAAAAAATTAACTGGTTATTTTTGGCAATTTTCTCTCACACTTTTCAAGTTCTCTTCATCCAACAAAAACATTCAACATCTTTTTTTTATCTTGTCCGCATCTTGTGTAATTTTTTGTTGTTTTTTTGGCCTGAAATTTTTCTCTCTTTTTTTTCTTTCTCTTTTTTTCGTTCATCACTGTGTATCGTTTCAAATTGGCAATATTTGATTTGGGTTACCAAGAAAAACAAAAAACAAAAAAATTTTGTTTCAACAGTTTTTCAATAATCATTTTTCTTACATTCATTTACAATAAAATCTTTCGTAATGAATGATTTAACAACAAATGGTAAAAAACCCGATCTTATTCCCGAAGATGAAGGATTGGTAGAATTGAATGGATTTCCAATTCATTGGCAAAAATTTGGTAATGGACCGATGATTGTATTGCTTATTCCGGGTGCTTTAGGTATGTTTTTTTATCTTATTTTTTTTTCAAAAATTCGTCCATCACTAACTCCTTCCTCTCTCCCTCCCCCCAAAAAAACAAACAACAGGAACGGCAAAATCCGATTTCTATAAACAATTAACCGGAAAAACAGCATTCGATTTTAATCGTTATACATTTATTGCTGTTGAATTACCTGGTTGGGGTAAATCACGTCCACCAAAACGACCATATGGCATTGATGTTTATGATACGGATGTAAAATGTTGTATGCAATTAATGGATCATTTAAATTATCATAGCTATTCAGTACTTGGTTGGTCAGATGGTGCAAAAGTTGCAATATTATTGGCAATATTACAGCCATCAAAAATTCAATCAGTTGCTGCAAGTGGTATCTATGTTTATGGTGATAGTAAAAATATATTACCATTTTTGAAAACACAAAAAATTGAAACTTGGGATAAAACAATGCGTGAACATTATGAAGATGTTTATGGACCAGAATTATTACAACAATTATGGGATAATCATTGTAATTGGTGTCGTGATATACATGCAACAATTATGGCCGTACATGCTGCAAAACCTGAATTAAAAGATTTAAAATTTGCTATACATAATGATCTAATGAATGGTCTTGGTCGTATACGTTGTCCAGTATTGATTATACATGGTGATAAAGATCCATTAATTCCAATGGATCAACCATTATATTGTCAAGAACGTATTGCTAATTGTACATTGAGACGTTTTCCAAATGCATCACATAATGTACATCAAACACATACCGAAGAATTTCGTCAATTAATTGATCAATTCTTTGAAGATTCAGGTGATTTCTATTGAAGAAAGTAGAAAAAAATATACTCTAAATAATTCTTAACTTGAATTAAAACAAAAAAAAAATTCATCCTGATTAGCTGAGATGAACAAAAATAAAAATTGAATAGAGTGAGAGAGAAAAAAAAACTCAAAGTTTCAATATAAACACAGAACCAAAAACAAAAACTTTTTATATTTTATTGATGATTATAATTCAAAAAAAAAAATTAAAATTAAAAATGAAAAAAAAGTAAAAATTCTTATCGTTTTAAAACGATAAGAATTTTTATTCATTTTATCCATCTTTTTTAACCAAATTCAAACATGTTCGATATTGATGACAAAACTGATTACATAATGTATTCGAAACGAAACATTTACATTTTTTTGTTTGACAACCAGTTTTACAAGTACAAAAAACAGAAGATATTGTTGTTGTTGTTGTTTTTGGAATTGTTTGTTGACGATCATCATCATTCTCATTTGCACTTTTATCATCATCGTCTGAATCATTGTCACTTTCTTTATAGCTATCGTAGCTGCTAGTGCTTCTAGCCGATGAACTATCCGATAATATTGCTGAATCGTTAAGTGTTGTTGCTGTTGTTTTGTTTGATTTCGATTGATTTAAATATTTTTGACAAAATTTTTCCAATTTTTCTTCCACTAAATCTTCTGGTTTAAAATTTTCTGGTAATGTAAATTCTAAACCAAAATTCGGTTCATATCCAAAAAAATGTTCGAATGGTGTCATAGAACCATCAATATCATCAACAGTAGTGTTCATTAGGAATTGTAATTCCGGTATAACTTTCGACCAGGAATCGGTTTTTTGATTTTTGCATAAAGAGATCAATAATTTTTTGATTTCATTTTCTGATTCAATATTTGTTATTGGTTCTTTTTTACCAGTAATTATTTTTAGATCATCATTGAATTCTTTCAATTTTTCTTTAACATTTTCTACAAATTCTTGTCGACCATCATAGTAGGCTAGAATTTGTGGTGCACCAAAACAACCGAAAATTTTCCAAAGTTTTCGAGCAATCTGTTCAGCTGTATTCATTTTTAATGGTTTAAAAATTGAAAATTTTGTACGAATATCGTGATATTGTAAAATATATCGATAATCATTATCGATTTTGATCGAATTCATATCGATAATTCTAATCATCCATTTGGAAAATTGTTTTGTATTCATTTCCTTTTTTTGAAAATGAAAATATTATCATTAAAACAAAAAAAAGAATTAATCAACCAGTTACCAACCTTGAGTTGTTTTTTTGTATTACAAAAATCACAAGTTCGATTATACAATGTTATCGATTCCATTGTTATATTTAAATATTTCGTACGAAGATGATCAAATATTTTTCTCACACCAGCATGATTCAATTCATGATGAGCTTTATCCAATATTGGAAATAATTCGGCCGAATGAACAAAAATTCTTGTACGATCTTGACTATCATGTTTAATCAAACGTTTCGTACCATCCAAACGTATAATATCATAAGTATTCAATAGGCGATTCTCATGTAAAGTTCGTAATTTCATTGGTTTTTTATTCGCTACAATATAATCACGAATCAAATTATCATGATGTTCTTTAGTGAACAAATTACTTTTAGTTTTTTGTTCCAATAGTATTTTTAATTCTTGATCAAAATGATCACGATGAATTTGTTTGGCAGAATTATTTGTCATGTTTTCTTTTTTGAAACAAATAATTTTCCGAACAATAATTTCAACCAAAAACGGAAAACGGAAAAAAACAAAAAAAAATGCTAAAAATTTTGGATTCGAAACTATTTCCACTCAAACAATCATTATTATGTTCGAATAGAAAAAGCATCAAAAAAAAATCAAATCAAATTTTTTTTCAATAAATAATTTATAAGTTTTTTTTTCGTTGATTTTATTGTAAAATGCACAAACATTGATGTTTACAAATGATTACAAATAGTTTTTTTTGGTTATTATTATTTATTATTATTTTGAATCAATCATTGTTTCTAAAATTGTGCTTTTGTTTTGTTTTTAGTTTGATTTGATTTGATTTTGATTTTGGTGTTGGTGTGTCTGTCTTTTGGATATTGTGATATTATTGTTATTATTAATGTTATTAATTTATAATTTATGATTTTCCTGCTTCTTCTGGAAACGGACCTGCCATAACATTTTTGATGAACGCTATAAAGTAAGGAAAAATGAAAAATTATCAATTAACAATCGGGAGAGAGAGAAAAAAATCAACATACTTTCATATTTAATGAATCCTTCATCATCACAACCACCAGCACATGTTTTAATAATTTCTTCTACTTCCGAATCATCCAATTTTTCACCCAATGACAATAAAACATGAGCCAATTCAGCTTCCATCATTGTACCATTTTCAGCTTTATCATAAACTTTTAAACCTTCAACCAAATCTTCGTATGCACCACAATCTTTATCTTTTTTTACCTGGCTATAGATTGGTAAAAATTCTTCAAATGTCATGTATTTTTGACCTTAAAAAATGATTTTTTTTAAAAAAACATTATTATCATTATAATAAACAAATTTATAATTGAAAATTACCTTTTTTCTTTTCCCAGCCATTTTTTGCAACCATTTCCTGTGTAGGTCGAAGATCTAATGATCTCAATAGGTCACCCAAAAGATGATTATCAACTTTTCCTTGTCCTTCGAAATCATAGATATCAAAATGAAGACGAGCCTCTAATGATCGAAACAAAAAATTATTGTTAATAATATTTTTTTTAGCTAAAAATAGTAATTAGCAATGCAATACTACTCAAAAACCGAAATTCTTGGCATTTGATTCGAACAGAATTTCAATTTCGATTTTGTTTATTGAAAAAACAAACTTACTTTCAACTTCTGGTGGTCTTAAATCAGCCTGGTATGGATACAAAAAAGACAAATTCAGTTAAAGTAAAAAAAAAATCAATTCAATCAAATTGAATTTACCATTTTTTTTTTGATTTTGTTTAGATGATGATAATTCGAATAAAAACAACAAAAACACTTGAATGAGAAAGTAAAAATATCGATATGAAAATCACAGAAATCAAAGTTTTTCAACGAAAAAAAAATTACCTGAAAAATGAATGGAAAACAAACAAAAAACAACAACAAGCAAAAATTTCTTCGATCAAAAAAACACCTCACGAATATCACTAAACACCCAAACACAAATCAAACAAACATTAACGATAGGCAGACAAACAGACACTGTGGCAGTGTTAAATGTTGATCAAGAATTTTCGTCAAATGTTTGCAACAACGAAAAAAAAAATTTTAGGAAAAATTCTTTTGAAAAGAAAAAAGGCCTTCATCAACGGAAAAAAGCAAACAAACAGCAACAGTTATTGCTATTTGGCGTGGCACATAATGAATATTTGGCGCGATGAAATGTTTAAACAGGAAAAAAAAAACAAAGTGTAGGCGTTCGGTTATATATTCATTGCCTTGATTTTTTTTTCTTCGAAATTCTTCATTAATGTTCGATGATGATGATGATTCTAATAATAGAAAAAATTCTATCATCCATTTACATTGGAAATTCTTTCGGATTTCGAAAAAAACAAACAGAATATGCCAAAAAGAAGAATGCTTCTACTACCACCACCACCACCACTGATGATGTTCAAAATTGACCTAAAATAGTCTGATTAAACATTCAAAGAATTAAAATGAAGAAAAAGAATTTCTTTGATGAAATACATCCACACAGAGAAGTTTTGTTTGCCTGAATGATAAGTTTTTTTTGTTTCTTTTCTATTGTTGAATTAACCATATGGCAGTAAAAAACACATCGGATTTCTGTTTGTAATTTTTTATTTTAATCAGCTAAATTAATATTAAATCGACTGAACAATAGTGACATTTTTTTCCCTTGTTTTTCTCCGTTTTCAAGAAGAAGAAGAAAAAAAAAATTCACACATTTCATTCATGAGAAGAGAGAGAGATATGCAGAAAGAGAAAAGAAAAATTCATTTGGAAAATCTAGATTGGCTTTTATTCAAAAATTTTCCATAAAGTTAATATAAACACACACACAAACACCGAAGAAAATCTGGTGTTTTAGAAATGATGATGATGATGATGTGTTGCTCTTGATATTCACCTATAGCCCAGATTCAATTCTTCTTCAAAATGTTTGTGAATATTCGAGATTCGAGAAATTATCCTCCTACGATGATGATCTGGCATCTCCACACCCAATGTGAAAAAGAAAAAATTCTTTATTTAGACAGTGTTGTTGATGAAAAAAAAAATGACAAAAGAAAATTTTTTTTCTGTTGTTGAACGTAGCCGTAATTGGATAATCTTTTCTTCTTTTCTTTTAGAAGATTTGTAGTTTTGCCCAGGACAAGGTTAATGAAATTTAGATTTTTTAGATTTTTATCTTGATTCGGAACAAAAGAGTTATTTTATTTCAAATATTTAAAGGACAAAAAAAAAAGGAATTCTACTTAATCTAATCGTAATTTTAATGAACGCATATTTTGTCTAAAATGATATGGTAATGGTGAACGTATAAAAATATTTTGACCATTTTTACCTAATTCAGGTATCATTATAAATGATGCATGTAAATGCATAGGTATTGTACGTGATTTTGATTGTCGAATTTTTAATGCCATTAATATATCGGATGGTAAACGTTGTGGTGATAAACTATCTAGATTTGAATATTTATGATCACCAAGTATAGGACAACGTAAACCAAAACCAAGATGTACACGAATTTGATGTCTAACACCAGTTTCTGGTGTAACCTAATTCATTTTTTTTGCAAAATGAAATGAAAAAAACAAAAAATTTTCAAAGAAACCAAATCAAATCATTATTAATTACCTCGATTAATGCTGCATTTCCATTATCAGATTTAATTTTATAATGTGTAATAGCTTTACGTGCTGTACGCCAATTACGTTGTAAACGGATATCTTGTACTGGTTCTGGACATAATATCATTCGTTCACGTTTTTTACCACCACTTGGTGTTGATAATTTAATATAACCTAATTCAATAGGAATATCGATAATTCCTTCCGGTTTATCGGGTTTATTTTTTGTTATACAAAGATATTTTTTCACAATTTTCTGTTCCTTAAATAATCGATTCAATTGATTAGCTTTTTCCTGTGTTTTAGCTAACAATAAAACACCGGTTGTATCACGATCTAAACGATGTACAGTATATAATTTTGTACATTCAAAACGTTCAGCTAGTTTAGGTAGAAAATAATTAAGATTTACACTTTGATGATATTTAGAATTCATTCGACTTAAAGTTTTATTAGTTGAACCAAATGCACCATGTATAGCAATACCATATGGTTTATTTAATGCAACAATATCTTCATCGTTGAATAAAATTTGTGCCAATAACATTTTCAATATTTCATCATTAGTTAATCGTGAAAAATCTGGTACCTGATTGCTTAATATTCGATAGCCTTTTGTATCAAGTTTTTCTTTTGGAATTAATCGATACATTTCATCAAATTCTTTTACCAATTTTGGTTCTCGTTTACCGGTACGAATTTGTTTTAGATATTCATAACCAGAAATTATGTTCGGTTTCATGATGATACCTTCTTCTTTGTTGGTCGGTTCGAATTTTACAGCCATAATTTTTTCCGAATCGGATGGTTCTGGTTTTTCTTTTTTTGTATTCGATAATTCACGTTTTGTTCGTTCATATGTAATCCAATCATCTTGTTGTTCATTGTTTTGATAAATTTCTTCGGAATCTTTTCTTAATTCAGATGATAATTGTTTTGCAAAACGGAATTGAATTCGATCATCATTTTTTGTTGATTTTCGTATCGTTCTGTCATCCTTTTCAACTGAAACAAAATCTATTTTCATATTTTGACTAGGATTTTTTATTGGTTCTGGTTTAAATTCAACATTATTCGAACCAATATGTTTGATAACATCGTCCATAGTTTTGAATATTAAATCATTAGTTTTTTCAAATTCACCGTGAAATTGTGGATTGTTTTCCGAATCAAAACGAACATTTAAAAGGCCAAATTTTTTTCTTACATCTATCACATGTTTTTGTTTAGGTTGTAATAATGGTTTATATTTTTTTATAATTTGTTCACGATATTTTGAATGATCATTACGAACATAATCACCATGTAATGTGGAATAATCTTCTGGAAGATTTATACCAAGATAATTGTAATCCGATTCTTCATCAAGTATTTTTTCATTTTCATCATCATGTTCATTCGATTGATCAACGTTGGTCGAACGAATCAATGCTGATCGGACAGATCGAAGTAATTGTTTTGGTTGGCTAATGATCTGTCTTGACCGAATGAATTCCTGAAATATTATCGAATTATTTAAATTAAACATTGAGAATTGATAAAAAAGAATAATTTTTTTTATTTATCTAAACAAAAATAAAAATTCAAAGCATGTCACAGCAAAATTTATCCAGATAGCCTATTCAGGTGAAAATAGCGTTTAGCGTGTATTCGAATTTTTATTTTTTCAAAAATTTTACATTCATGTTGTATTGATGAAATCTTCAATTTCTTTCATTTTTTCTTGATCATGACCAAAATGTTTTAATACACGTGTTTTATATAGATGATCTAATATTTCGGATAAAGATAAATGTTGATGATCAGGAATACGAACACGTATTTCACGCCATTTACGTAAAAGAATATTGAAATAAATACTGGAAAATTTTTCCTTTATATAATCCCAATCGATCATATTAAAATCATCAAAATTTAAATGTTTCAATAATGCAATGAATTTAGCAATATCCAATTTTTCATTCCAATCATCAATTGGTGGATGTGTAATCATTTGACAAAATGTTGATTTGCTAAAAAATTTTTGTCGACATTGAACATCGGAACGATGAAGTTTTTTTGACACATGACTCCATGGAATACCATCATACGATTGAAGTGCTAATTTTTTCATTAAACGACTAACAATTTTTTTCAATTTTTTCACCTCTTTTTCACTCCATTCACCATGATTAAGTTTCACACCATTCGATTTGATTGTATGACGAAGAATTTCTCTAGCACATTTAGGATTATAACCATATTCTTCACAAAAAGTTGTAAAATGATCACCATATTTTCGATATAGTTTCAATATGATTTGACGATCTTCATCGGTAAAATCTTTGGCCTTTTTCAAATTTGATAAAAGAAAACGTGCACGACAATATATTTGAAATATTGTACGATTAGGTAGATTTTTGGCCAATCTTAACCATAATTGTGTTTCATTAGCAAATTTTCGATACAATTTTTTAATCTTTTGTGAATCATTATTTGAACGTTCATATTGAAAATGTCCAAGCAATAGAGATTTATTTGGCACATTATAATCGTCTAAATATCGTTGCCAATTTTTGCTAAGAATTTTATTTTCCGAACTAGTAAATCGACCATTTTGAACAGATAAATTATGTTGTCGTAATAATTCTTTATCATTATCATTAATTCTTCTTAGTTTTGGAATTAAATGATGTAATTCTGCATCCGAAATCAATGTAGGATCAATTGCTACATCATTTTTAAGTGATGGCAGATCATCGGATTTCGAAAATAGATCATCATCACTATCATCATCAATCTTATCATCATTATCACATTGTTCAATTGAATCATCAATTTCATTATCTTCAATTTGTTTTTGTTTTTTGCGTTTACCCATCTTTTTTCGAATTCGTGTCACATGAAAACAAAAATGAAAATCAAAACAAATCACATGGAATATTCATAAAGAATGTGATCAAAAAAATTTAAATTTTTAAAATTTTCTCTGTAAAATTTTTTATTTATTGCATCAAATCTGTATAATTTAAGGAAATAGAATATTTACTTTAAAAGAAAAAAAAATATTTGTGTGTGTGTGTCAACAATCTTAACTAGAATTTTTTTTCTTATACATCACATAATATTCGTGGATTTTGTTTTGTGTTTTTTTTTGCTTGTTGGATGTATGGTCCAATAGATTAATGAACTGTAACTTTTTTTCAAGTGTATCTTTGTAATTGGTAATTTTAAATCGATCAAAATGTAAACAACAACAAAAAAAGAGATAGAAATACAATTTGATCGATATAAAAAATAAAGAACTGGAAGTTATAATTTTTGAAAAGATTGATCGACAAAAGTGAGATGAAGAGAATAAAATCGACAATAAATAAATAAATAAATAATAATTAAGATGTGTGCGCATCCAAAAAAAAATGATGATGTTGTTAAATTTTAAATAAATCTAACAAGAAAATAATAATGTCATCCATTATTCAGAATGATGATAATCGTAAATGGTATGATGTTTATTGCACATTGATTATTTAATCAACATTCGATTCGACTTGACGATGATGTTTTTGGATCGATCAATAGAATGGTTTTTTCAATGGTTTCGATATCAACATTGTACCATTTCCATTTGGCATACCACCACCACCACCATACATTAATGCCATATTTCCTGATGGTGGTATAGTTGGAATATGACCAAATGGTGGTGGAATCTATAGATTGGGAAAATTGAATGATAATCAAAAATTTTTTAACAATAAATACATACTGGAATAGTTTGTCGAGCCATTTCAATTTCGAATGCACGAGATGGATGATATTGTATTCGTGGATCAATATAATATGAATCTGTTGTTCCTGCTGTTGTGTTTGTTGTTGTTGGCATCATCATTGCGGCAGCTGCTGCAGCGGCAGCAGCAGCCGAATTTGTCATCGGTGGAAATTGTATTGGAGCAATCATTGGTCCATATGCTGTTGGTATTAATGCCGTTTGATATAGGCCGTATGGTTGTGTTGCAGTTGCTGCTGCTGGAATGTAATGATTTGGACCAATAGCACCATACATTTGATGATGAGGACCAATTGTTGATGGCTGAGTTGCCATTAATGGTGTCATCATTTGTGGTGATTGCGTTGGTGGAGGAGGATGATGATGACCAGATGCGCCAATGCTACCATTCTGATGATAAAATGGTGCAAATGTTGGCATTGCACCAGTAGCAGAGGTCATCGGTATTGGTCCATAAGGTGATGTTGGTGGATACAATGATGAATATGGTGGTGGTGGAACATCAGCCGACATTGTTGTTGAATAAGATTGATCTTTGATTGAATTCACTAATCAATGATAATTGAAATCCAGAAAAAAAAATTTAATAAATTCAAAAATGAAAAAAAAATTTCCGATTTTTGTTTCACCTTTATCGGAAGTCATCCTAATCCATTACAAACAGCCATTTAACGCCAAAATAAAAAACTTACTGAAATTTTTTTTTCTCCTAAACAATTTTGCGATAAATATCTTCGATAATAAATTCAATAATATTCGAAAATAAATTATTTTGTTGGTCGCATCGATTTATGATGAGGTTGTTGTTGATGAAGATGATGATGATGATTTTATAACAAAACCTCCAATTGAACTTGACTTCAAAAAAAGAAAAAGAAAAGAAACATAAAGCTAATCGATGAAGCGCATAGAGCGAACAAGATGCAAAAAGAAAATTATATTTGCATTGAAATGAAGAAGAAAAATTGACAGAAAAATAATGTTTCGAGTCGAATCAAATTTACTTTTCATGATGCGAATATAAGTCAAGATCCATGATTTTGGATCATTATTATTTTTGTTTGCCTAAAAACAACTACGTATTAAGCAAAAGTGAAAAAAAACGGATTTTTTTTCTTTTTTGGTGAACCGGGAAGAATGTATTCGGGAAAAACATAACGAACGATGATTCAATTTTCGATGACTATATATATATAAATCTGGTCGATTTCTATATATTTTAATGTGGTATACCAGCTGATGATCGTACCAATTCCATCTAAATTGTTCCAATTTGTTCGTAATAAGCTTTTCTGATTCTGGAACAAAACAAGAAGGAAATTGAAAAACATTCAAAACGCGCATGAATTTTCGCTATGAATTTTTTTACGAGAAAATTTCAAACAAAAAAATATCGATACAATCGATACTTGTTTTTTTTTATCCGAATATCGTTATACTGTTGTTTATTTGTGTGCGTCTAGCGTTTCGAAATGTTTGAAAGCTTTTATCATCATCGTCGCCGTCGTCGTCGTCGTCATCGTAATTAATCGAGCTGTGTTTGTCTGTTTTGTATGTTTGCCAACACGTCATCTAACCTGATGATTATTTTTTGTTTTCTTCATCAAAGTCCTTTCTCTTTTGGCTAAAAAAAAAGATAAAAAAAAATTCATGTCCACACAAATCGGGAAAAAAAATCATTGATTAAATAACTTTTTTTTTAATTATTAAAATCGTTTTTATTACTATTTACAAAACTGAAAAAAAATCTTGTCTTTCATGTGAGTTTTTTCATACTACTGTTTTGTTTATTTTCTTTAGTAAAGTTTTGTTCTGTTTTGTAGATTTAAGATTTAATTCTCATTGTTTAATTTATTCTGCATTTTTTTCCCAATCTCAAATCGGTAAATTGAATTATAATATTGTTGTAATTTTTATTGATATTTTCTTTTTTTTGGCTGTGTAGAAAATCTTTTTCGTCAAGAGGTAATTGATGGACTCGAATTCTCATCAATATCAACAACAACAACAGCAACATCAACAACAACAATCGCATCATGCGTATCAAACTAATCATCAAATGTCTCAACAACCATCAAGACCACCAAGTGTTGATTCGGTAAATCTTGGTAGTATTTATAGTGGTTTTTATCCACAAGCATCAAGTGCTGGTCCTAGTTCATTAACAACAAACATTCCGCCAACAGTACAAAATTCATATCAATTTTCTGGACAATATCCACAATCATTACATCAAAATCAACAGCAACATCAAGGATATCAAAACTATCCGATTAATTCTAATAATGAACCTGCATCATGGTCATTACATGGGCAAACAAATTATCAACATTCAACCTCACAACAACCGACAAGTTTACCACCAAATCTTAGCTATCATTATCAAATATCAGCATCTGCTGCTGCGGCTGCTGCATTTGGATTTAATTATCAACAACAACAACAACAACAACAACAGCATCCAAATCAAAATGTTGGAATGTTAGTTTCACCAACATCATCTAATCATCATAATATTAATGCTGTCCCATTAACATCAGCAGTTCAATGGCCGGTAACAAATCCAATACAATCGCAATCATCATTTATACCTGCAATGACAAATCAAATTTTATCACCATCACATCATCCACAGCAACACCAACCATTTACATCGATGGCTGCTGCTGCTGCTGGAATAACCAATCCGAATGAATATGTTAGCCAATATTATTCACAATATTATCGTGAATATTATCAAAGGCTTGTTGCATTTCATAAACATCAACAACAGATACAGAATCAGAAAAAGATTGCACCATTAAAATATAATCAATTTCATACGCCTTGTTCATTTTCGCAACATGATAATCAATTAATTGTTGTCGAAGCAAATTCAAATGTTGGTCTTTATGGATTACAGGAAGTTTTTATTGAACAATGTTATCCTAATCTATATCTACAATCATTACTTTATACAAATAATGATGATCCAAATTTAACATTATTACCATTCGAAGATTCACAATCATCATTAGATTGGATTCGTGTTAAACAATTGAATGATACAACAATGAATTATGAATTGAAATTAATATTAAAACTTATAACAATGTTGTTCAGACAAAATGGAACATTATCTGGATTAGATCTTTCGGGTAAGATTATTTGTTTTTCTGTTTTTTTTTAATGGAATATTAATATTCATTATGTTATCATATTTAGAATTATTATATGAGCTTGTACAACCAAACAATGGTGATGATTCGGAAAAATTATCACAATCAGGCGGTAGTGAAGTAGTGACCAAAGACTATTATCGTGATTTATTATCACATCTTCGACAATTATTGATGCGTGGTCAACGTCGTGTAGCGATTACATTTGCTCAGAATAATGGTCTTTTTGATCATGCAATGGCTCTTTCATATCTATTTTCATTTCTATCTTCATCATTGAATACAACAGCAAGCACAAATCTTGGCCAAGTTATTGATAATAATTTAATGATTTCAACAATTAAGAAATTTATTACCAGTACTTTGTCAACAGATGATCCACGTATGTTTTATTTTAATAATATTTATTCCTTTTTATATCATTTTTGTTATTTTTTTTTCTATCCAGTCTATGTATTCTATACTCATCTTTTACAAATTGCGTCAAATATTCTAAATTCGGTTACATTAGAAAATGGTGGTATGATTCCATCATCGGGTTCTGGAACAACAGCAAGTGCCAAGATTGATAGATTAGAATCATTTATCATATTATTGGCTAATGATATTAAATTCGATAAGGTTGAAATCGCTGATAAATCTTATCGTAATTTAATTGATCTAATGATTGCATTGTTAAAAGATGATTTTAATTATGTTCTACCTGATGAATTATTTAATAATGATCGATTTGATTGTTTACTTGTCAACGAATGTCTTGAATTTGCTCGTTTCCGTGGTGAACGATTAAATCCAAAACTAATGTTAAGAAAATTGGAATTTGCTTTTGAATTATTTGATTTTGGTTTCACACGAAATGCATTACGTTATTTGACGAAAATTGCCGATAAACTTAAAGATCCTAAATTTGAATGGAAAATGTTGATCGATAAAAAATCAAAATATTCAAAATGGCTACTACCAGATTCAATTATGAATAGTGAAGATGAACAATTAGATTCGAAATTATTGAAAAATATTTGGGCATATCAGTTCTCGAAAATTTTCACTCGAATGGATAAAGAATTGCAACTATTTGATTCGCCATTATTTGCTGTTGAACAAAAAGAAGTGCCGAAAAATGATGACAAAAATGATGATCAACAACATAATGATGATGATGTTGAAGCCGATGATGCTGATGTAACATGCGAAGAAGATGAAGATCGTACCGATGTTGTTGAAGATATTGAAGATGAAGAAATCGATGTCGAATTGGATACATCCGAATCATCTTTTTCAAAACCCGAGCCACACAATCAATCAATATCGACTTCGTTATCATCAAATCAACAAGATAATTACAAACAACATAATCAGCGTCAATCTCCACAACAAAATATTGATGATAGACGTCATTCAACAATGATGATGTCTACATTGTCTACTAATCATACACCGGTGCAGGATAAATCTTTAAATGTATCGTCGATTGAACCAGTAACAGTAAATCAAAACAATATGATTACTGATAATCAAAGTATGCAACAGAATAATATTAATCATCAAAATTCTGAATTAAATTATCATTTATCTTCATTAGATTCATTACCAATCAAACCGGCAAAATCCCTTCCGCCACAAGGATTCATGCAACAAGGAGCTAGACGTAGTTTACCGACGATAGCCAATCATACATTTCCACGTACATTGAATCCTATTATGGAAATACCACAAACGAATCATATGCCTTCAGCTACCGAATCTACAACAACTATTCATCAGCAAAAAAGTTTCGATTCATTGGATTCATCATCGCCACCATCATCACCAAATGATAATTTTAATATGAAACCGATGCAATCAGCGTTGCCTTCTTCGTTTCAAAACAATGAGGATTTGACTGGACAAAAATCAGATAATCATCATACAGAAAATACTGAAAATATTGGTTCTAATAATTCATATTCAAATTTTTTTCAACCACCACCAACATCATCGAATGATACAACAGCACCATTCGATTTTATTTCGACCAATGGACATGTTACATCGATACCAACATATGATCCATATTTTAACACTAATGAATCAACATTGAATGATCAAACTTCATCAAATGGTCTTGTTGATCATAAAAATAATGAATTTCTACAAAATGCTAATACGATACCGCCTTCTGTGAATAATAATGTAAATGAAACAATGAAAAAACCAGAGATAAATAGCAATAATAATAATAACAATAATGGTGGAGAATCGGCCAAAACATCTCCAAGTAAATCGAATAATGGTGGTTTGCTTGGTGCTATTTTAGGACGATTAAAACGTAAGCTGTTTATAAAATATTTATTTCAAAAATCTGATGAATTTTTTTTTCTTTTAATTAGCTAAAAACCAAATGATATTGCCGGATGATAAAGATCCGCAGATAATTTTTGACCCAGTTAGTAAAAGATGGATTGATAAATCGGCAAATGATCAAGGTGGTATGGGAACTGGTGGGCTACCTCCTCCTCCAAAAATTCCAATTCCTGGTGGTAATACAAGTGGTGGTCAAAGTGAACCAAATTCTGCAATAACATCGCCAACATCAATGAATAATTTTCCACATTCATCTACATTACCATCGTTACAGCAATCGAATACAAATAAAAATAGCAATGATATACCGCCAATGATGATGATGAATGGTGTTAATCCATTTGGAGCTGCATCATTACCGCCCGCATCGTCAACGACTGGATCAACAAATAATGCCTTTCGTACTGATTTACGTCGAAAACGATATGTGGATGTATTTAATCCTTCAAAATAGTCAATTATATTTTGAAGTTGTGAAAACAATCTTGGTCATTAATTTTAAATGTTTTTTTGTTTTGTTTCCAATTGTGATTATTTTTCAATTATTTTTTATGAAAAAAAAACAAATTTTTGTCGTTGATTAATTATGTTATTGATTATGATATTGGATGGAATTATAGTTTTTGTTTCTGGATCTTTTTTTTTGTTGTTGTTTTTCTATTGATGATTTTATCGGGGTTTTTTGTTCGAAACAAAAATTCGAATAATAACAGAAAGCCAAAACTTAGTGGGTAATTTTTCTGGTGTATGCCAAACGGTTAACTTTTTATGGTTAAAAAAAAATTCAAATCTTTTCATTTCCGAAATTTTCTTTTGTATTTATATTTTATTAATTAAAAATATTTTAAATAAATTATTATATTACAATTTTAATGATTTTGCAGTGAAAATTAATTCTGGGTATGATTCATTTAGTAATTTTTTTCGATCTAAGCCAATTGAATCACAAAATGTGGCTATTTTTTGGGTCATCATTGTTTTTTTGATATTGAAAATTACCAAATTTAAAAAAGATATGATGTTAGCATTGGGAATTGGAATTTTTAGATTGAGAATTAGAGTCAATTTCAACAATAATATTAAACATTTTTTAAAAGATTCCATTTTGATGATTTTGTTGCAATATGTTAAAAAATAATCATTATTTTGTTTAAGAATGGACGGAAAACGATAATGTTCGTTTATTTTTTTCGAAATAGCAATTAAATCCTCATTAATCTATTCGAAAAAAAATAAAATAAAGTCAATAATCAATATAACTATATAGTGTAAACAAACCGGGACATTAAAAAACATTCCATCATATTTATCTTCAAAATATATGCATATATTGTCCATGAATTTGTTTCGTGTGTTGATAGGCGATTTATTGATTAATTTTGTTTTTAGAAAAATAAATAATCGAAAAATGTCATCATCATCATCATCAGTGTTGCTAAAATAATTTTTACATTTATTTATTAACTCATTGATTTTTATATCTTCATCTAAGTTGATAAAATGAGGATACATCATTTGTAATTCTTCATTAATCTGAAAAATAGATAGATACAAGATTATAAAAGGTTAATAAGAGATTCATTAATATTCAGTTATAATACCAGAATTCCATCGAAAAAAAATAACGATTCATATTCTTCGATCAATTTTGGACCACAACCTTCACCCGTACAACGAATAATGTTACGTAATGGATAGGTTAGACGAAACAAGTCAACAATTATTGATTTATTGCATAACATTGGAATAATAGAATCCAGCTCCTTTTTCTAAATTGAAAATATATTAAAATATATATGAATATAAGATTTAAATTGAATGGGTTACTTGTTCGGCAATGTTTTTTCCGGAATCGTTCATTTCGGTGATGGTAGCATTTTGTTTGGTATCAAATGGCGTTTGTTTTCCGATTTTGTACTTTCTTCGCCTGTACTCAAAAAACTTATATAATTTACCGATCGGTTTTCGATGTTCGAATACTTTTCCCCCTCTAATTCGTGTTGATTTCCAATAACAAAAATATTCTTCCTATAAAATTATAGGCCATCAATTGAGTGAAATTTTTAGAATACAACTTACTTCTGAATCTTGACTGATTTTGCTCAATTCTTGAGCATAATATTTTAACGTTTTGGTTGGAATTTTCAACGAATTATAATGATCATACAAAAAATGGCACACACAATCCACCATTTTTTGCCTTTCCAAAGATGATACGAATTTTGTATCAACAATTTTTTCGTAAAACATTTTTTGTCCTCTTATTTCGAAAATTTCGGCTAACTGTTAACAAAACAAGTACGATTAAAAATGTTTTTTTTTTGAAATCTAAAAGTACTTACAGTAGGCAAATTATCTTGATTTGTTTCGCATGGTTCGGCAACTTCCTCACATACGGATTCGAAAACATTATCAAATATTGGTTCATAATTTGTATCCATATTTGAAACAAGATTTGCAAACAAGACATGTAGAATTATCAAACACTGAGAGCAAACAAAAAAGCGAATGTAAATGTGTTAGCGTTTGGCGTGCAAATCTCAAAAAAAAATTGGCGAGTGAAAAACAACACTTTTCGAAAAACTTTTTCAATTTTCTAAATTATTCTGTCATAGCCTCTATGAACGGTTACTATTACAAAGCAAAAAATAATAATAAAATTTCGCGAAATCATCTTTTTCGACTTGTTGTCAAAGGAATTTTTTTCATTCATCAATTTTTTGAAGTTTTTTTTTAAAAAATTTAAATTTTAAAATCTGATTTAGATTTTTTTTTCTCAACTGATCGATTATCAAATTTTTTTAGAATGGTACGTTTTATTTTGTTTGATGATTTATTTTAATATTTTTTCATAATTATTATTTTAACAAAATAAAAAGGGACAAAGTCAATCTGGCGGTGGTTCTGGCTCGGGTGGTGGTGATAAAGATGGTAAACGTCAAAAACGTGAACGTCCTCCACCACCACCTCCATCAACAATTCGTGGTCGTAAACGTAAAGGTGGAAAAGGTCCTGATGCAGCATCGAAATTGCCCACCGTAACGCCACATACTCGATGTCTTTTGAAATTGCTCAAAATGGAACGAATACAAGATTGGCTGTTGTTGGAAGAAGAATTCTTAAAGAATTGTAATGCTGCCATTCAGGCCACTCAAGATAAAGATGATAACGCAGATGATGAACGTAGCAAAGTTGATGATCTCCGTGGTACACCAATGTCCGTCGGAAATTTGGAAGAGATTATCGATGATAATCATGCTATTGTTAGTACATCAGTCGGATCAGAACATTATGTTTCGATATTATCATTCGTCGACAAAGAACAGCTTGAACCAAATTGTTGTGTTCTGTTGAATCATAAAGTGCATGCTGTTGTTGGTGTTTTAAGTGATGATGTTGATCCAATGGTAAATGTGATGAAATTAGAAAAAGCTCCACAAGAAACCTATGCCGATATTGGTGGTCTAGATCAACAAATTCAGGAAATTAAAGAAAGTGTTGAACTGCCTTTAACTCATCCAGAATATTATGAAGAAATGGGTATACGACCACCAAAAGGTGTGATACTTTATGGACCACCTGGAACCGGTAAAACATTGTTAGCCAAAGCTGTTGCTAATCAAACATCGGCAACTTTTCTACGTGTTGTCGGTTCGGAATTGATTCAAAAATATCTTGGTGATGGCCCGAAATTGGTACGTGAATTGTTTCGTGTGGCTGAAGAACATGCACCATCTATTGTATTTATAGACGAAATTGATGCTGTCGGTACTAAACGGTAAGATATTCTATATTCTTTCTAAATTGATTTTCATTTAATTAATTCAATTTGTCCCTTATGTTAATATAGTTATGAATCCAATTCTGGAGGTGAACGTGAGATTCAACGTACCATGTTAGAATTATTGAATCAATTGGATGGCTTTGATTCACGTGGTGATGTTAAAGTCGTAATGGCAACTAATCGTATCGAAACATTGGATCCGGCATTGATTCGTCCCGGTCGTATTGATCGTAAAATTGAATTCCCATTACCAGACGAAAAAACCAAACGTCGAATATTCAATATTCATACATCGAAAATGACATTGGCTGAAGATGTAAATTTTGAAGAATTAGTAATGGCTAAAGATGATCTTAGTGGTGCCGATATCAAGGCTATCTGTACTGAAGCCGGCTTAATGGCATTACGTGAACGACGTATGAAAGTGACAGCCGAAGATTTTCGTAAATCTAAAGACAATGTTCTTTATCGTAAGAAAGAAGGTATGCCAGAAGGATTATATTTGTAAAAAAAACGAAAAGAAAATCATCATTCATTCAAGATGTTCATGATCATCATCATCATCAATCAATCAATCAAATTGACGATTTGATGTAATAATTGAAATTTTCCTCTCTTTTTTTTCAATTTCAATAAATAAAATCCTAATCATTTTATTATTATTTGATGATGATGATGATAATCTTAGAATTGGCTAATAAATTTCAATTCATTCATCTTATTTTTTTTTCCTAATCGATCAATTCACGAGTTTTTTCTGCGTAATTTATTTTCTAAAAAAAAAATTTCATATTGGCCTTGATGTTTGGGTAATTTGTTTTTTTCTTTTTTATTAAATTTTTAAGCAATCACTTCATTCTTATTCCATATCGCAAGAATATTTGAAATTTTCAAGTGTTAATTATAAAAAAAGAAAGGATTTTTAAAAATTGATCGATTATGATGATTGAAATTCAAACATGTAATACATGTATTCTTCTGTATAATCATGTGAATATTGTTGTCAATATTCGAATGAATTTCAATTTCAAATTTTTGATATTGCTACATCTTCCTTCGACAACGATGATGATGATGATGATGATTCGAATGAAAGGAAATTTGTAAACATTTATTCTGATAATGATGATGATCATTCATTTGTTTTTCTGATTCGACTAATGATACCTCGGCCTTTTCGAAATAAAAACTCTTTCAAATATCATCATTATCAACTGTGTGTTGAATAATGATGAAAGATACATCCGGAATTTTTTTTTTCGTTTTCGTTTCCTTTGAATTGGATTGGAGTTTGACATTTGTTCTAAATTTTTTCTTTTCAACAGTAATCTGTTTTAATTGACGACAAAAAACAGATCTTTTTGAATTTTTTCAGGATTAATAGTGCTGTATTTAAAAAAGATTTTTTTTTACCATTCATTTTTTTTTCTGTGTCAAATTCTGTTCAGTGTTTTTTTTTTGTTACCAAATTTTTCATGTGGCATTGAATCATCGCCAAGACATTACCAAAAATGTACAATTGTTATTTGTTAATGATAGCTGTTTGTATAATAATTTTATCATTACCAAATGGATTCGATGCACAAGGTGCTATACCATTTCAGGCATTCATGAAAGAAGCTGTCAATGGTTTTCGTAATATTCAAAGAAATGTTCAACAAAAAATACAAAGCCGACAACGACAACCAAATGGTTATGAATTAGCACAGGATATACGTGAAGCTGTTGTTGAAGATTTACAACAAAATCATGGAAGACGAAAACAAAAATTATGTGAATATTTACGACAAGGTCAAGTATATCGTGGACCATGTCCAGCTGATGATGATGGTTATAATAATAATGGTGATGCTACAAATGGTGATTATGTCGAAGAAGGTGGTCGACAATTAAGTCGTCAAGAAGCTAAATATATTCGACGACAAGAAAAACAACGACGTAAAGAAGAACGTCGTGAACGTAAACGTCAACGTAATCGTAATAGAGATGGTTATTATGAAGAACCATCGCAACCAGAAAGAGGAGATTATGTTCAACCTGATCAGGAAACAAAACTTATTATTCGAATAAATCCACCAAAAGGTAATAATCGTTATGAAAATAATAATAATAATAATGATTATCAGGTTAAGCCTGAAATCATTGTTCGTGATGAAGAAGATAATAATCAACGTGGTAAAATTCGTGTACCATCCGGTTTCAATGAAAATAATATTAATCCTAAAAATGAACGACAAAATCGTGATCCAAGTGAAATGGTTCCTTGCCGTACTAATAATGGTTTGGATGGTCTTTGTGCACCGGCAGCATATTGTTATGCACAATATAGTGATCCAGATGATTATCAATCAAATATATGTCAATATGTTGGTACTGGTGCAAATGGTATTTGTTGTCCAATCGAAGGAGATCGTGTCCAAAGACGTTACAGTAAGTTCCATAATGATTATTTTTGACTAAAAAATCAACCATAATTAATATATTATAGGAAGTCAGATACAATTGCCACAGGAACAAAAACCAACAATGCGTGTTGGATTCATCAGTTTAGAAGATATTAATACGGCTGCAAAAGAAGCTAATAAATTTATTGAAAATTATATTGAACAAGAAAGACAATTAGTTTCACATGGTATGGTACAACGACATGGTTCTATGCAGGCATTACATCAGGCTTTTTTCGGTGAATTTGATCCAGTACAATTTCGTTTAACTGTTGGTGGTTTTATTAATCTGGTAACTACATTGGTTATCAAACGAAAATTTAAACTTACAAATGAACAAGCTCGTGATGGACTTTATCGATATTCAATTGAACATACTGATTTAGAACAATATTGTATTGCAGAACCATCATGTCAACAGGGTAAATATCGTACGATTGATGGTAGTTGTAATAATTTACAACGACCATTATGGGGTAAATCAAATACGGCATACGAACGTTTATTACCACCTAATTATAATGATGGTCTGAATGAACCTCGAACAAGATCTGTTACCGGTGATCTATTACCATCAGCACGTTTAGTATCACAAATATCGGCACCAAGTAGAAATGTTCCGGATTCAAAATATACATTGATGCTTATGCAATGGGGACAATTTATTGATCATGATTTTACATTAGCATCATCTACTCGTGCTGCTACAGGTCAAGGTTTAATTTGTTGTCATCCCGAAAGTCAACGAAAAGTTGAACATCATGCATGTTTTCCCATTGAAATATCTGAACAAGATTCATTTTATCGTCGTTTTAATCAAAAATGTATGAATTTGGTACGTAATGCACCTGCACCAAGAAGTGGTTGTTCACTTGGTCATCGTGAACAGATGAACACTTTGACACATGTTATCGATGGTTCTATGGTTTATGGTCCTACAGTAGAACGAGCTAAACTTTTACGTTCATTTCGTGGTGGACGATTAAAAACTTCATCATTTCAGAATAAAGAATTTCTACCATTCGATCGTGGTAATCATTCAGATGATTGTGCCATACCTGAACGTGATCAATCAAGATTTAAATGTTTTCTTGGTGGTGATGCTCGTGTTAATGAACAAACTGGATTAACAATGATACATGCATTGTTTGTTCGTGAACATAATCGTGTGGCTGCTGAATTGTCAAGATTAAATCCAAATTGGCCAGATAATACATTATATCAAGAAGCAAGAAGAATTGTTGCAGCCGAAATTCAACATATTACTTACAATGAATATTTACCAACAATATTAAGTCCAACAGTAATGAAACAATTTGGTCTTTTACCAAAAACATTTGATTTTACCTATAATTATGATCCAAAAATTAATCCAAATGTACTAAATGAATTTGCTGGCGCTGCATATCGTTTTCATTCATTAGTACAGGGAACATTTCGTGCTTTAAATCAAAATGGTCAACCAACACAGGTTATACGTTTACATGAAGTATTCAATAATCCATTAACATTATATAATCCAAATGCATTTGAACAATTTTTGAATGGTTTTGTTACTGATCCCGGACAAACATGGGATCATTTCTTTACTGATTCGGTATGTTTCTGAATATATTTGTTTTTCTAAATTTAATAATTGATTTTTTTAAGTTAACAAATCACTTGTTTGAAGAAAGAGGATCAGGATTCGGTATGGATTTAATAGCATTAAATATTCAACGTGGCCGTGATCATGGATTACCCGGTTATAATAGTTATCGTCGTTTATGTGGTCTACAGCCGGCCAATTCATTCAATGATTTGAATCGATTTATGACAGCCGGTGCAGCTGAAACATTTTCACAAATGTATAGAAATGTTGAAGATATTGATCTATTTATTGGCGGTGTACATGAAGATCCATTACCGGATGCATTGATTGGACCAACATTTGCTTGTATTGTAGCCGAACAATTTCGTCGTACAAAATTAGGTGATCGATTTTGGTATGAAAATGGAAAACTACCACATTCATTTAGTAAAGGTATTTTATCAAAAAAAAATTTTTTTTCGACTCGATTACAAACTATAATCCTTTTATTATAAACAAAACAAAACAAAAAAAAATCAGAACAATTAATGGAAATTAAAAAATCCAGTTTGGCTTCAATAATTTGTGATAATACCGATACGATTGGACGAATACAGCCATTAGCATTTCTTCGGCCAGAATCTTGGTAAGATGGCTAATTAATTTTTCTCTCTCATTAATGAATCAATCTTTTTTTTTTTGTTAAACAAGGAATGGTAAAATAACCTGTAATCAAATTAGCCGTATGAATCTATCACCATGGCGTAATGAAAGAATTTGGTCTTAGAAGAAAAAAAAAATTTTTATTTCGAGATTTTCACAATAAAAACAAAACAAAAATAAACTTTATTTTGTTAATTAACTACATCGGAAAATTTTTTTATCAATCTTGTTTTTTTTTATTAGAATAAAGTAATTTTTTTTGTTTTCGTTTATGATTTATTTAACAAAACACATACATCGACAATGACAATGATATTTGATCAGATGATAAAACATAAGATTTTTTTTTTTAATACAAATGTAACAATCATCAGGCTCTTTTAATCATTGATAATATATCGACTGGTTCGATAAATAAACTAGGCGGTAATGGTGTACAATGAGTTGAATCAAATTGAGTCATTAATTCACGACACTGAAACAAAACAAAACAATATTTGAAAAAATTATTGGAAAAAAAGCTTTGAAAAATAGTAAAACTTACCAAAAAAAGAATAATTTGTTGTCCCAATAACATACTTATCTCTAATTCAGTATCGACATCAATTTCGATTGGATATTCTTTTACACCACCATATTTCTGTGAATAACGTGATAATGCTTCCATTACTTTTGTATCATCAACTTTTCTTAGTAAATAACCATAATTTTCTGAATGAAGAAATTGTTCTACTTCATCACTAATATCTTCATGTAACATTAAACGTGGAAAACGTGATTTTAATAATTTGATTAACAAATAGTTACCACGATTTGTTAATAATGGCCTTGTTGAATCGATTGGAATGATTTCATCTTTTAATCGTCGAATAAATCTAATCGGACCTTGATAACGATTTAAATATGATGATATATTTAGATTGAAATAATTTCTTATGGTAGAATCAACAATCGGTGCAAGAAATGGCATCATTCGTGAACGTGCCAATGGAAGTACATCATCAAAACTTGCATCAAGTATGATACCTTTTAATTCGGGATAATTCGATACAGCCCATGCAGCCGGAAAACCACCAATCGACCAGCCAAATATTAGAATGTTTTCTAATTTGAAATTCAATTTAGTTACAGCGAAATTGATGACAACTTCCATTGCGTTTATTTCATTTTGTGGAAAAGGTGATCCAGTACTGCCACCGAATCCCGGATGATTCCATCCAATAACCGAATAGTTTAAATTAATTGGTGTTGTGACCGATCCAATTTCATAGAAACCAGCATTACCTTCACAGGTAATAACTAATGTATTACCACGATGAGTTTGATTATTTGGATTACGTTTATCAACAAAAATGACATCAATTTGATTTTGGTCTCGTGCAAGCAATTTAAAACGTTTTGCTTGATAATTTTCCATTAGAAAATGACGACCAGTTATCAAATTATTTTCAAGAACTTTTTGTAACAAACCAATCGATCCTGGATAGAGTAAGATTCGTCCAATAGAATTGGCCATCAAATATGATACCATATTTACAACTGGACCTTCATTCAATGTTTCATGACAAGCTTCTTGTACTGGTAATAATTTTGCTGGACGTTCATAACAATATCTACCTTGTGTCCATTCAAAATCAATAGGCCAATGTTGAAAATCATAATCATATTTTTCACGTATTATATTACGAGCATCAATTATTCGTTTACGAAATTCATCATCATCATCATCATCACGATGATCGGCACGGAATGATGTGGATGCAATTTTAAATGTACGAATAAATTGACAATAATTAGGATTAATTGAACGTGAAAATCCACGTAATAAATTTGCCATAATATAAATAGATGTAAAGGCCATTATAAGACGTACATATGTACTATTTGCTAATAATGATAGTAATGATGATGATGATGATGAAGATTCTGTATTTTGTGTTTGATAATATAATCGATAGGCCAATAATGGTGAAACATATTTCAATGTATATTTACAGAATTCTATAAAACGAATTATTCGATCAGTATAACGTTCCAGATTATAAGGATCATAGTTACGATGCTATTATAAACAAAAAATGAAAATTTAGAAAATTAAAAACATCATTTTTGAAAAAAAACGAACCGGATTTTCAAAAATTCTATAAAGAGCAGGACCAAAAATACAATCATAAAGAGACATTTTTTTTGTGAATATTAAGAAAATTTTATCAAAATGAATGAGTTTATTTTTGTTGTGAATGTTTTTGTTTGAAGCCAAATTGTTAGTAAAAAATATTTGGTTAATTAGTTAGTTTGTTTTTTTTTTGCTTGTTTGTTTTCATTGAAACTAAGGTAAACAAAATGTTAAACAAGATTGATTAAAATTGAAATTTTTAAAAATAATAATAAAAAAATTTAAAACACAAACTCACACATGTGAATCATAATACCACAAAAAATATTCAATATTGTGAATGATAACAAGTACATAACAATCTTTATGAATGGTACACAAATGAAAAACAAATTTTTAAAAAAAGATGATCATTTTTTCCGAAAACCGATAAGATTTATCATATAAATCATGATGTTTTTGTAAAATAGAAATGGCGGTCGATGGTTAAAAATACAATGTTTTCGAATTCCAAGAAACATTGTTTGCAAAAGAATTTTTGTTGTTGTTGTTGTTGATGTAAACAATCAGATTTGAATCTAATTTGAGAAAATTTTTTTTTCTGTTAAATGTATAAAATGAAAAGTTTTATAGATTTGTATTTTTTAAAGAAAAAAGAAAAGATTTTATAATTTTTTTTTTGTTAATTGAAACCGGAAAAATAGAATACGTTACAAAAATGTATCGAAAGAATACAAGAAGAAAGACACAATCATTATCAAAAATGCGAAATTCAGCAAGTTTATCATCATTGAATTTATTAAGAAATTCTGTATTAAAATTAAGTGATCCACATATGTATGTTTTGGATTTACCTGAATCACAACAACAATCATCATCAATCAAAAGTCGAAAACGAACAAAATCATCGTCTAGTTTGAAAAAACGATCAAAATCATCGTCATCGTTGAATCGAATGTCAAAACGACGATCTGCTAGTCGATTATCGACCAAAAGATCTGCAAGTAGAATATCTGGAAAACGTTCGGCAAGTAGAATATCTGGCAGACGATCTACAAGTAGAATATCTGGAAAACGTTCTACAAGTCGATTATCTGCTAAACGAAGCCGAATTACTTCACCATCGTCGTCGTTTAGAAGAAAAGGCCCGAAAATATCATCAATGATGAAATTGTATTCAACAAAAAGACGAGCATTATCTAAACTTAAACGTGCAATGAAAAAAGGTAGAACAGCATCAACAATGGGAAGAAAAATTGGCGGAAGACGACGTACCAAATCAACGGCTAAAATTCGAACCAGAAGTCCAAAAAAACGAACAATATCATCATTAGGTGGTAAATATGGTGATTATTCAAGTCGAAAACCAAGCAGTGTAAATCGGGCAAAAAGTAGAAGATTAACTAAACGAAAAGTTCGAAGAATGGATGGTGGTGGTGGTGGTGGTGGACCAAAAATGCAACGATCATCTTTTATTAATCGTCGTCAACAAAGTTTTTCACAAAGTTCATTCGAACAACAACAACCAAGCCATTTTGGAAGAAGTCCAAGCAAACGAATACCAAAACCAAAAAAATATCGACAAAAATTTTCCGATAGAAAACAATCATTAAGTCAATTATCACAAAGTATTTTTACATTAGGTAGAAATTATCGTCAACGATTAGATGAAATAGCTAAATCATTAATGCCAAAATTATTTCCAAATCTGGCTGTTGATACGGAAAAATCTCAAGAATCATTATCATCATCATCATCGAATATATCACAAAAATCTGATATTCGACAACAAAAAAGTTCATCAACACGATCAACACCAAAAAGTAATTCTAGTTTGAATGAATTAAGAAAATCATCAATACAACAGCCACAACCAAAAACAGTGATTACAATGAAAAAAAATCGTCGTAAAAAACCATATTCAAAATCAAAATCAACGAAAACGAAGAAAAAAATGCTAACGGATAATGATAATAATTGTTTATCAAAATCATCGATAACAACAATCGATAGTCGTGGTTCATCTTTGACAAGTATGAAATCATCAACTAAAAGCAAATCAATAACAGCATAAGTAAATTGAATTTTATTTCGATAAAGATTTTGAATATAAAAAAATAAATTCCTATGAAAAAAAAGGGTTAAATGATTCCTTGATTTGCTTCAAAAATTTCTACCAATGTGGATGATGATGATGATGATAAGAAGTAGTTGGCGAAGGAGGAATTGAATGTGGAACCAAATTCTGGCGTAATGCTAATGATGTATTGTTTATATCGGAAAATGTTGTTGTTGTTGTTGCTGCTGCTGTTGCTGATGCAGATGATGATGATTTTGATACATCAAATATATAGGAATATGGTGATGATGATGGTACAATAGTTGATGCAGATGATGATGAAAAATTATTATAATTTAATGATGATGTTTGTAAACCATAATTATCATTATTATTTGGATTCAATGAATATAATGTAGAATTTTCTAAAATCGAATGATTATTGTATTGATGATGATGATGATGTGGATGATGGTGATGAACGAATGTATCGATTGTATTTTGAGCAACTGATATCATCATTTGATCATTATTATTGGTATTTAGTATTGTATGATTATCAACAATCGATGATGATGATTGTTGTTGTTGTTGTTGTTGAATTTTATCATTTTCATCTTGATTAAGATGATGGTGATGATCAGAGATTGGATGTTGATGATGATGATGATGTTGATCATCGATTTCGATTTTAATTAAATTTGTTAATTGATTGTAATCCGTTTTTTCGTTATTGGAAATTTTTTTATTATTATTCAACAATTTTGATTTAGAAATCATCTGTGTTGATTGATTCATATGATTTGTTATGATACGTTTTTTCAATGTTGAAAATGATTCTTCAGCCACTATTGATGGTGATGATGATGAAGATGAGGAGGATGATGATCTTTGTTCCTGTTGTTGTTGTTGTTGTTCACAATCATCATTTGTTGTTTGTTGTTGTTGTTCTTTTTCCTTATCAAAATGTGACATTATTGTTACTGGATAATAATTATCATCGATTGTTGTTGTTGTTGTTGTTGTTGAATTCTGTACATCAACAACATGATTATCATCTTCTTTTTTAACATCAGAATTTATTTGTGATAATCGTCGTGAATATATTGATGATGATGATGATGAATCAATTGATGAACAATTTATTTGACGTTGAAAATTACCATTGGTATTATTATTTGTAAAAAATTGATGATTATTTGTTGGATAAAGATTTGTTGTTTGTTGTTGATGTTGTTGTTGTCCAAATATCGGATGATGATGATATGAATGTGAATTTTGCCATGAATGATTATGCGGCAAACTATGTGGATGATGTTGATGATATGGATGATGATAATTTGATGATATTAAACCATCATTTAAATCAGTTGTTGTTGGACAACCATTATAAGAAGTAGCAGCAGCAGCGGCAGCAGCTGCGGCTGCTGCTGCAGCCGCTGCAAAATGAAATTGATAATTTGATCCATTCAATTGTTGTATCATGGTTGGATCATAAGCATTATTACTACTATTATTATTATGAGTAAATGTAACCGGATTTATAATCTGTGTGGCCATTGTTGTTGATGGTGTTGTTGTTATAGGTATCGATAGTATCGTAGAATTATTTTTATTATCATTATCATCATTCATTTCTTCATCCGGTTTTTCATTATTATTATTACTATCATCATCATCATGTGAATGTTGTTTGTCATCATCAAAAATTTGATTATTATTATTATTTTGTTTTGTTGATGATGATGATGATGATATTATCGCTGTTGACGATCCTATAATGGATTTTTTTTTATTTATTTGAAAGAAAAAAAAACAATAATCATTAGAACACGGAACTAGATTGAAGAAAAAGAGACAAAAAATGTCTATTTTTTCACAATTTCGTTTGATTTTATTGACAAAATTCGAGCACATCAAATTTTATGATCTAGGCTTGTCGACCAATATAAAATATATATCTAAATGTCTGTTCTCTGTTCTGTTCATTTGAAAAAAAATTCAGAAGAAAAACATTCGTTGACAAAAATCACTTACCATCAATGATAATTGATGAATGTGGTTGATGTTGATGTTGATTTTGTTCCTGTTCATCATGTCGTTGATATGGAATACCGGTATCATTCAAACGATTATTATTATTATTCACACCGTTATCATTCAATGATTGCTGTTGTTGTTGTGTGGACGTTGTTGTTGTTGTTGTTGTGGTTGTTGCTGTGGTTGTAGCTGCCGTTGATGTTGTTTCTGAATTAAAATCATCAATATTATTGATTATTGTTGATGATTGTTCATTGGAAAACAATGATGATGATGATGATGATGATGATGAAATTATCATTGATAAATTATTATTATTTCCATTGTTTTCGGTTTTTATTGAATCATCGTTGTTGTTGTTGTTGTTGTTTGAAAGACTTGATGATTGTTGTTGTTGTTGTTGATATTCAATAATATTCGATATGGATGCCGTTGGTATTGATAATGCTGTTGAAATAGTCGCTGTAGCCCCTGTTGTTGATGATGATGATGATGATATGGTAAAGGGTTGGCGATTTTGATGATGATGATATGATTGATATGAATTATTCATCATTGATAATGAATCATTCATTTGTTGTTGTTGCTGTTGTTGTTGTTGTTGTTGATGATGATGATGAAGATGATGATTATGAATATTCATCATCATTAATGATGATGGTTTAATTGTACGACGTCTTCGTGTACGTATTGTTTCTTTACGCATTGTTGCCGGACGATTAATACCATTTAATCGAAAATATAAACCACATGCATTACAAACCGAATCACCGGATGAATTACGTCTCCACATTGATGTTGCTTTTGTTCCACAATTAGCACAGATCAGACCAACACGACGTGTTGTTGTTGATAAACGTCGTACATTACGAACTAATGGTCGATGTTGACCATTAACACGTTGATAAAGGCCACATGCATTACAAAGAAATTGATTTGGACCAAAACGACGCCATAATGGTGTTATTGTTGTACGACAATTAAAACAAATACGATTTTCATGTAATTGATCATCATCTGGATTTGATGGTGATCGTAAACCAGATGATATTGTTGTTGTTGTTGTTTCATTTGTTGTTGATTGTAATGGTGGTTGTTGTTCCAATTGTTGTGTCGAAATAGGTGAAAAAATTAAATGCTGATTATGATGTGGATTATGATGCTGGTGATGATGATAAATAATTGCCGTAGAAGATGATGATGATGCTAAAGATGGTGTTTGTTGTTGCTGCGGTTGTGGCTGTAACGATACAGGCGATGTATTTGACGTTGGTGATAATGTTTGTTCTTGATGAAAATTATTGAAACGTTGATAATGAACAAATTGATGGTGTTGATGTTGATTTTGTTGATGCAGATGGTGATGTTGTTGATCACCATCATCAACATTTAGAATATTATTCGAAGCATTGATCATAATCGATTATTATTTAATGGGAGGAAATATTGCTAAAAAAGATAAGATTCTCTCTCTTCTCTTTCTGGTTTCAGGCAAAGAACACGTATCGATTTACCAAACAACAAAAAAACATTTAACATTGATGATAATGATTTGATATGATCATTATGTAAAAAGAAAAAAAAATCATCGATCCAAGTAACACAATCGATTGATTTTTCTTGTTTTTCTTTCATCAAAAAATGATGATTAAATCAAACGATGATGATGATGATGATGAGACTAGATGATCGGACATCGATCGATCTCAATCGATATCGGTGTTTATAACACACAAGATCGTTAACACAACATTTAATGTATGTTTGTTTGTTTTTGTAAATATAACGACTGCCCAATCATGTCATTTCATGATTGGATCATTCAGAAGTAAAAAAACGAAAGATAACCCTGATGTTTGAAACTAAAAAAAACTTTTAATTCTTAATTCTTAATTCTAATGATGATGATGATGTTCACACATAACATTCGAATGATTTGATCTATTTGATTTTTTTTTAGAAAAACAAAAACATTTCGATCATTTCGAAGGATTTATTTTTGTGATTGAAAAAAACAACCTGTTGCACACCTTAATGTATCATCATCATCATCATCTTTAATAGCTTGGAGAATTTTTACCATTTTTGACATCGTTGACAAAAAAAAACTCAACTGAAAGCTTATGTGTGATAAAGTGGGTGTTGCTCAATCGTTAGGCCACACCTTTTTTCTTATTAAAAATCATCCAACATCTTTAAGATTAACCAATAAAAGAGTAGCAGATATTAAACAGAAGGAAAATAAGGAGTGATTTATCGCAAGCACCTCCTACTTTTTTATTATTTTACCCTTTTTTTTCTGTTTTTTAAAAATTTAACATCATTTTTTTTTGAGGGGGAGAAAGGAGGGGCGAAACAATTTCATTATAGGATCAACAATCATTTTGTTTTTGCCTTATAATTAAATTTTATCGAATCGAATTCGAATGATGAAATGTTGAGATTTTTCGAATAATATTGTTCTTTCATTTCTCATTTTTGTTCCCGCAATCAATCATAAAAAGTCCTAAGTTTTTCAGTTTTTTTTGCCTGTGAAAAATCCAAAGAAGAAAAAAGAAAAAACACTTATTGATTGAATAATGGAATCATCAAAACATAAAGTTATTGATAGTGTTAAAACACGTTTACAAGAATTAATAAAATCATTAGATATTCTGTATGATAAATTGGATAAAGAATTTAATGAAATAATAACGATAAAAAATCTAGAATCAATTGGTTCAATAATATCAGAAGGATTTGATGATATTTGTAATGGACGTCCACCATTTAATCCAATATCCGATCGATCAAGTAATGATGATGATGATGATTATAGTGATGAAAATGAAACCGAAGAATTCGATAATGATGATGATGATGATGTTGATGAGAACGAAGAGGATGAAAATAGCCGCCAACAACGTGAAAAACAAGTTCAGGATATAATTCGTATGGTACAATCATCATTCAATATGACACGATGAAGAAAGAAAATTTCGAAATTTTTTTCAAAAAAATTAAAAAATCTGATTTTTGAACTTTGTGTGAATGAATTTTTTTTTTGTTTTTTCTCATATTTCGGCTTTTTGACAATCTCGATTAATTTCATTTCCAACTACAGCAAAGATTTTTGTTTGTTGTCCAAAAACAAAACAAAAAAACTTTTCCAAAGAAACAAAAAAAAACTTTGCCTTAACTTAACTATCAATCAATTTTCTTCTGTACCTTTCCTCATTCACACAATTCAATCGTTGATGTGGTTTTATTCTTTTGATTTTGATTTTTTTTTTTGACATTTCACAGGTAGCATCATTTAGTTTCATTCATTCATTAAGTGAGTGTGTGTCTGTAAAATATGAATATAGTTCAAATTTAACCAATTCTAAATGCAAAAAATGGTCAAACCAACAAACAAATCAACTTTATTATCATCATCAAGATAATGATAATTTCGTTATTACAAAAAAAAAAAAAAAAAATTAACACTCCTCGAAATTACAAGACGGATCTGACTCCCTCTCTCGAAAAAAAAGAGACTATCTGTGTGGATATAGCCATTGGATATATATTTTATTCATTCGAAATTTATTTAGGATTTTTTGTTTTGCAAAGACAAAAAAAAACTTAACAAAAAAAGAAAAATTTGATTCATTTATTTAATAGATAATATTTTGTTTTGTTTTGTTTTTTCGTTTTCTGTTGTTGTTGTTGTTGATGAAGTAATAATGATGCTGGGAAAACAAAAAAATCATTGTCTTTAACATGGGTGTGTGTGTGCGAGTAAATGTTTGTTTGATTGAACAAAAATAATATTCATCATGATAAATAAATTCAATGTGTGTGTGTGTGTGAACGAATGTGATTAAACACCATAATACAAATACATTTTTTTTTTGATAGAATTTGATGGCATACACTTTGATATACATACTATAGTATTGACCTATTATTATTATCTAAAACTAAAACATAATTTATGATGTATTGAAATTGGATTCGAATTCAAATTTAATTAATATTACCACCACCACTTTGATTACGATAATATGTTTTTGGTGATATACGTTCGGCTGCTTCTTTCTGTAATTGATAAGCCATTGGATGTATTTTAAAACCATATAAACGTGGTACAAATTGTCCAGTTGGTGCTTTTGGTCGTAATTCTGGATGTACCATAAATAACATATGTGGAAAACCGGTACCAAAATAGGCACCATCTGTATGATGAAATCTTGATGATTTTGGATTATAAATATCCATACATTTTGGACAATAAAGTTTCACCATTAATTCGCCTGGTATATCGGATAAACCTATCGGTAACATTGGTTGATTTTCACAAAATTGTCTTGGACAGAAACCAAAATCACCATTCTGATATTTTTCAATCATTTGTGCTATACCACGATTAGTTAGAATAAAACGAGCATGAATCAATCCATATAACATTTCGGCTGCTTGTTCTATTAGATCAGCCTTTGGAAATAGATTAATGAAATAATTTAAAAAAAAAATTCAATCTTTTTTTGTATAATTATACCTGATTAGGATTATCTTCAATCTCATCATCTGGTTCTAAATCAAGAATCATATCCAATGCTTGACGATAATGTGGAACCGATTCAGATAAACCAGTTAAATTAAATTTATCATGTATATAATCTTCATCAACTTCACAGAAATAATCATTACCACGTAGACCACAAAACCATGTTATCCATGATACTTCTTCGGATGATGACATTTTTGTTATTGTTGTTGTTGTTGTTTTGGTTCTATCAGCACCATAAATAAATCAAAAAAAAATTGAATCAATCAATTCATTATCAATCAATAATCCGAAACATACCCAAAAATTATTTATTTAATCAAAAAAGAAAGAAAGAAAACTAATGAAAATCAAGTTTGAAATGTTTTTTGTTTTGTTTTGTTTTTGTATTTTTGGCTTAGTGAGCAACAAACACAAACAATAACAAATGCTCACTCTGCCGGCAATGAAAAGAAAAAATGTTTGTCAAAAATGATTCAATGATACCTTTGAAGTTGAAATGGACGTCCCTTTATAATAACAAAAAAATAATGGAAAAATCGTGTGCTCTAAAAAAAAAAATTCGGCTATATGTGATGTGTATGTTTATTTGTTGAAAAAAAATCGAAAATATTTTATCGAAAAACTATTTTAAAAGAATTTGACTTATTTATTAATCGATTATTAATCATCGTTAATGTGAATGAATTCAATGACATTGTCGATGATGATGATCAGTAATTATTATTAATCCTTGAAACGAAATTTGAGAATTCAATCCAATCCAATCCAATTGATTATCAATCTTAATTAACAAATCAATTGATCATTAAATACTTGAGAAAAAAACTATTGCTGCTGTTATATATTTATACCATTCTCCAATCATCCAATTTTGTGCCTTTTTTTTCATTAATCTGTGATCATTTTTTTTCTTCTTCTTGAATCTTCGAATAACAAAATGATCTTTTAACATGATGATAATCATTATTTTGTCCGTCCTTTAATAGATAAACACTATTCCATACGTACAAATCCAAAAAAAAAACGAATTCACTAGTCTTCCCAATTTTGTATCTAAATTATTGAAAAAGAAAGAAATAAAGCAAAATGCAATCATTAAAATCACCTAAACGTAGTAGTTCACAAAATGCAAATGAATCATTAACATCGACAATGATTCCAAGATATAATATTGATTATCATATAAATTCTACATTCAATCATAATAATAATAATAATAATACTACAAGTTCATCATTAACAACAAATTCATCAACATATAATCGAATAACACCAAGTACAACAGCAAATACAACAACGAATAATACGAGTAGTACAAATTCAAGCTCAAAAAATTCATCAACAAATTTAAATACAACTAAATGGATTGAACAATTTTGTTCAACAGATAAATTTCTTTGTAAAGTTGATACTGATTTTATAACCGATGCATTCAATTTGATTGGTTTGGAAGAGAAAATTCCTTATTATCGTCAAGCATTATCAATTATATTGGATGATTCATCTGATCGTTCACATCCTGGTTCATCAGCATCATCTACTGAAAATTCCAACGATGATGGTCGTGAAATTGTAAGTTTTTAAGAAAAAATTGTAAATAAAAATTTTTCTAAAATCATTGATTTTTTTAAAAAAATAGGAAATTTTATCTTCAGCCGAAAATCTTTACGGTCTAATACATGCCCGTTATATATTAACCGATTCGGGTTTGAAAAAAATGCTTGAAAAATATAAAAAACGTCGTTTTGGCCTTTGTAATCGTTATTATTGTGATCGTGCATCAATGTTACCAATAGGTCTTAGTGATGAACCAAATATGTATTCGGTTCGTTTATATTGTCCACGATGTATGGATTTATATGCACCACAATTTAGTCCTAAATCTGTTTTATCTGATGGTGCATGGTTTGGTACATCATTTCCTCATATGTTTTTTATGGTTTATCCCGAATATCGTCCATTACCATCGACACAAAAATTTACAGCAACATTATATGGTTTTAAAATACATGAAAATGCATATGAATATCAACGTGAACAATTTGAAGCAGCTGAACGTGCAAGAAAACCGGTGTTTCTTAAAACAACAATATCATCATCATCATCAACAGCAGCAACAACAACAACAACAACAAATGCAACAGCAGCTATACAATCATCATCAACAGCAACATTCAAAATGAATGGTGATCATCATAATCATCAACATCATTCAATATCAACAATAGCCGATTAGTGTTTACAGTGAAACATTTCTCGTATTTTTTTTAATAAAAAAAATCCTTATGTATACACCATCCCTCCAAACAAACAAAAAAAACAGAATACCTAAAAAACGCTTAATAATTAAAAAAAGAAGAAGTTAAAATTGATTAATTTGATTGTAAATAGAACTAAAAATTGATTTTATTTATTTATTATTTATTTTATTATTATCAATTTTTTTATTCAATGAAAATTCTGTTGTTATTTGTGTATGTTGTGAAGAGAGAAGAGTTGGTATTATTGAGTTGAATTCAAACAATCCTAAGTTCTATGGAATTATTTAAGAAAAAAATAATAAAATATAAAATAGAAACAAAACCATAAAAAACAGATAAAGACAAATTGAATTGAATTGATATGTTGAATGTTGATAAACGATAAATGATCAGGATAAACGTTGTTGTTGTTGTTGTTGATTAGGATTATTCGGTGTTGATTGAGCATTAATTTCATTTGTAAAAAATAATTTTGCACGTGATATTCTTGAACGTCTTATACGTGTTGTTTGTGGTGTTTTAAAATGATCATCAATATTTTTTTCGGAATCCATAATCGATGATAATGGTTGACATTGATTTTGTTGTTGTTGATGATTGAATTGTACTGTTGATGATCCTGATGATACGAATTGATGATGAAGAAATGGACGTTTTTTCACAGTATTTATTTGTTGCTGTATTGGTGAAATATTTTCTTTATTCATTTCGATTGTTGTTGTTGTTGTTGTTGGTGTCGTTCGGGTCATTGTTATTGGACTAATACCAATATCATCGATTGGAAAAAGCATTGGTGAAAAATTTCCACAACCAACACCACTATTATTGAAACCAAAATCATAACGATATTTCGAAGTTTTTGGTGAACATTTCATCGATGTTTCCATAAATGATAATTTTGTTTGTCCTTCTGCAGAAGATGAATAAACATTTATTGATGAAATTTCCATCGATTCTTGTTCATCTTGATTATTCGACATCGAAACAAAATCACTATCAGTTTTATTATTGAAAGAATTTTTGGCATTTTCTTGTTGTTCACAACCTAATGTATGATGATCATCGTTTGTTTCATTTTTCATTGAAATATCATTCATAACAATAGCCGATTCAAAAAATTGTTGATTACTTGATGATGATTGTCCAGTTGAATGAAATGGTATATTATCTAGCCAACGTATAAATGATCCAGTATTACGTGAAATATTTTCATTATCACTGAAACGATTATTATCTAATGATGATGATGATGCTGCCGGTACTGGTCCTATTGGTGATGGAATAATTATATCTCGAGAAAAAAATTGTCTATTTTCAGCATCAAATTCATTCAAAATTAAATCAGTTGTATTAAGTAATGAATCAAATTCTTCTTGTTCATGATGATTAGAAAATTCTTTTCCATAAAAAGCCGAATATTCTTCAATAGACCAATCAAGTTGACAATCAATTTGATTATCATTATCATTATCATCGTTATTTAAACAAACATTTGGACTTAATAATGAATTACGTTTATATGATGATGTTGTTGATGATATTTCAAACATTGTTGGTGAACAAATACGTGGCATAGAACGAATAAATTCAATAAATGCTTCTTGTCTTTTTGGACTAATTTGTATTTGATTATCAGTTGTCATATTGGCAGATTGTTCATGAATATCATTAATGTTGTCCATTTTTTTTCCCCGAACAAAAAAAACTCGTAAATTCGTAAATTATACAACTTTCCAAAAGTTTGCACCAAAAAGAAACAAAATATCACAAAGCAAAATTAAGATTTTTAACAAAGCAAAACAAATCACAAGATCCATTCAAATTCTACCATTAAACTGACCAAATATAATATGAACACACACGAAATGCGATTGTGTGTTGCCAAATACATTTAAATCACAAAAAGGTTTCTTTGTTTCTCTTTTGTTGTTTTGTTTAAAAGTCCAACGGAAAATTTTTTTTTTTGTTTTGCGTAACGTTGTTAATGAACGTTATTAAATTTTTTTTTCAATGTTTTGGATTTCGCGCTTTTCGATTCTTTCTTTATTTTTCATTTTTGATTTGATTTTTATTTTCAAAATTTAATTTAATTTGGTTTTTCTGTTTTGATTGTTGATTATAATCATGTCATCGAACAATACATCGGAATTTTCTTCAACACAAGAAAGTCAACAATCATCATCATCATCACAACGTATTACATTATTTTCTGGTGAAATACAAAATACAAAATTCTTATCACCAGTATTAAAATCGATTAATATTGATAAATTTATACAAATAATTGTAACCGAATGTGGTATAAAATTTATCTGTGAAAATTATCAAACAATACAGGCAACAACATTTATTGATCGTAATTTATTTGTTAAATATCATATGGAAAATGAAAAAACACCACAAACAATACGTATTTTGACCACTGAGTTATTACATGTTTTATCATTTTTATTAACAAAACAAAGTAATCGTTATCAACAACAACAACAACAACAATCAAAATCATCTTTAATAATCAAATATGATAATGATAAACGTTTAAAATTGAAAATAATATCAAATGATCGATTATTTAAAAGCTCAATACAAACATTAGATACTATTAATATTAATGTTTGGACAATGGCATTTGTTAATCGTATTACATTAGATGCATCAGTATTGAAAGATTTTTGGAAATTTGCCAATACAAATGCCGATTCTATTTCAATTGAAATGAATAATGATGAACCATGGTTTTTGATGAGTACAAAATCACAATTTAGAGAATTTTCACAACAAATTGATGCATCATCAACTCATATTGAACATTATGAATGTACTGTACCATCGATTAATCATTATCAAATGAAATCAATAAAATATACTGTACGACCATTAATGTTAGCCGATAAGATTAATATTCGTTTTAGTTCAGCTGGTTTGCTTAATATGCAATTTTTTATACCAATCGATTCGGTAATCGATGATAGTCATTTTGATGATGGTGATGGTCTACAACAACAACAACAACAACAAAGACAAATAATTCATTCAACAACAACTGCATCCGATTCTCAACGATGTTTTGTCGAATTCTTTATAATACCAATTATATAATTATTATAATGTAAAATTTTTAAAATTAATTTAATTCAATTTTCAAATAAAATTGAAACATTTTCAAATTCTATATTTCTATTGTTGTTGGGCAAAGAAAGGATTCAAACAAAAATCAAATGTTTTTCCCTATGAAAAAAATTCATTAAATTATCAAATTTCTTTGTTTTGTTTTTTGTCCGTTCGAAAACAATGAGAATGAGATCTTTTTCTGTTTAAATTGTCTGATTTATCGAAGTAAACATTGACGATGTGAATATGAAGATGATAATGGTGATGCAGCAGCAGCGGCGGTGGTGGTGGTAGTATTCGAGGTTATTGAAGCGATAGAAGCGTTGGAAGAATTTGATGATGATGATCGGTATGAATATGGTGCCAATGATTGACGACGTGCTTTATAACGACAATAACGTTTATGATATGGCCAATCCAATTGTTGACATGTTTGACCACAATATCTTGTTTCTTGACAACGTCCACAAATTGAAAATTCTCTTGGACAACGTTCAATACGAACACAAGGTCCATAATGACATTCAAAATAGCTTATTGGTGATTCGGTTGATTCTATTTTTTTTGAACAAAACGAACATTATTTTTTTCTAGGGAATTTTTCAAAAAACAAAAACAAAATACCTTGATTTAAAAAATTTCCACGATAATCATAACATCTTGTTGCACTATTTACTTCTGCTTGACTATCGATTGAATTTTGTAATGTTGACTATTAGGTTAGGTTAGAGATTAGTTGGAAGAGAACAAGAAAACAAAAAACAATTTGATTCGAAATTCTTTCTTCAAAAAAAAAAAAAAAAAAAAAAAAAAAAAAAAATTTTATCCCCCAAAAAAAAACCCTTTTTTTTTTTTTTTTTTTTAAAAT